CCGTGGCCAGCAGCTGGTGAGAGGCACACCGTGGTGGGGGTACACCCAGTTCTTCTCCAATCAGTCTTAAGTCTTGCCCTGCCCCGGATGGTGAACATAACCAGATTTGCTTGTTGGGGTCGGCTTGTTGATCATGTAGGTTCCTGGATCTCCACCCAGTTTAAAACATCACTCCCAAACGGGACATCATAGTCGTCAAAGGTGTAAGGTTTGTCTGCAAGGTCTTCAACAAACTCTGCTAAGGAGCCCAGTGTCTTCTCTGCCGGTCTTTCATAGGTGGTCTCATCCAGAGACCCAGGGTCGCCCGAAGTTCCTGCTGTCTACATAGTCATTAAACAGACGCTGGGCTTTTTGACATCCCCAATCTGATGGGAGGCGGTGGAGGCTCAAACTAGCGGGCTTGGGTATGCAGGTCGCTGTGGGCCCCCGCGGCAGTACAGCCGGACACCCCTCATCGGCCCCAGGACCCCAGCCCCGGCCTGGCTGAGCCCAGGGGTGTCCTGTGGAGCAGGAAGTGGACAGCTGTAGGGGTGCCTGAGCGACCACGTACTGCTCATAGTCTGCGGCCGCTCCGCCCTCCCTCCAAGGTCTATGACGTGCAGAAAGTAAGATGTAGGAACCCGTGTTATCGTGTGTGCTTCTGTTGTCACAAAGTACTTCTGTAAAGATGAGAAAGACACTGCCTCTGGGGCAGAAATCGGGAGGCCTGGGGACAGTGGTGGAAGGAAGAGCTAATGCCACCCTTTTGTACCATTTGTACCATTTTTATCATGTATAGATATTGCCTATAAAGATATTTTGTAATCAGGGGTGCCTGGGTGACTCCACTTGGTCAGAGTCGTGAGATCGAACCCCAGTGGGGCTCTGAGCTCAGCACCGAGTCTGCTTAGGGTTCTCTCCTTCTCCCTCCCCTCCCTCCCCTTAGTCCTTCCCCCACCTCACACCCTGTGCACACATACACACACTCTCTCTCAAATAAATAAATAAATAAATAAAATCTTAAAAAAATATATTATCAGTAAGGTAGAACTTCAGCCCAGTCCTGGAAGAAGGTGAGGGGTGGGATTGAGCCCAGATAAAGGACCAATGACAGACACAACACCCCTGCTTCAGGTCAAGGTCCATGCAGGCCTGGGGTGCACCCAACAGAGAGGTCAAGTGGTCTCACCGAGGGGCAGAAGAAAAATGCCAAGGCTAGGCCACCTCCTGGGTTTTCATAGGGTGGCGTGAACTCCCTATCCTTGGAAGAAGAGGGATGTGTGCAGGACACCTGGGAGGTTCTGATGAAGAGGGTAGTGCCCCTAAAAATGTCTCAAAGGCACATCTTCAGCAGAGAGCTTTTGCGGGTCTTTAACCCTGGAGTTCTGACGCATGAGCTCCCAATCTCCTGGCCATGACCTCAAGTTTCGGCCAAAGGAGAAGTGAAAGCCACAATTAGGTTTTCTCTGCTGCTGGTTTTGCATCTCTGGCAAGATGAGATGTCTCAGAAGGCCAGCTCAGGGGATGGTCCCCAATGCAGATGACCTCACTGCCCAGGCTCAGCAGGTACCAGACACTCAGTGCATTCCCAAATGTTATCTTAATTCCCACAAAAATCCTGCAAGGTCGGTAGCATTATGCCCATTTGGAGCATACAAGCTTATGGAGGGACAGTCACATAGGACCTTGATGCAAATTTCAGCATCCCCAAGACTTGAACTGCTTTCCTCACTCCTTACAGTTGATGGGACACTGTTGTGAGTTGGATTGTGCCCCCCAAATTCATATGTTGAAATCCTAGCCCCCAGTACCTCAGAATGCGATGTTGTTTGGAAATAGGGTCATTGCAGAGGTAATTAGTTAAGATGGGTCATTAAGGTGGGCCTCTGATCCAACAGGACTGGTGTCCTTATGAAAGAGAGAAATTTGGAGACAGCCACATGCACAGGGAGAACACCATGGACAATGAAGGCAGAATTCAGAGTGACAGGCTTACCAGCCACAGAATCCCAAAGATTGGCAGAGAGCCCTGAAAGCAAGGGGAGAGGACCGGAGCAGATCTCCCTCCCAACCCTGAGAAGCATCCAGTGCCCCCGCTACCTCGATCTCAGACATCAAGCCCCTGGAACTGTGAGAAAATAAATTTTTGTTATTGAACCCTGCCAGCTCATGTACCCCATCACAGCGGCCTGGCAAACTGACGCGGGCAGTATGTTCTGTCTCCCAAACCATCCTGGAGTACAACCCCATGGGCATCCTTAATGTAGATCTTCTCCATCCTCCGGCTGCTGGTGGAGCTCTGGGCAGAATGCAAACCTGAGCTGGCCAGACTCCTGATTAAACTATTTCCAGGAGGTTGTCAACAAAGACCCTCTACCATCCCTTCTCTGGACCATCTGATGGGAGAGAGGAAAAGATTCTTGACTCTTCCCCTGAACAAAACTGAGACAAAAGGGCTCCCAGGAGAACCACTCCTAGAAATATAGGCTCTGTGACAAGCAAAAAAGAGGCAAGGACCATCCCCATGATGTCTCATCTTCCAAAGGGAAGTGAAACTAGACTCAACTCTGGCCACAGGCCTAGGGTCAAGGGCATATTGGGAGGCACAAGTCGAGGACAATTCTCCCAAGGCTTGATTCTTGCCTGGAACAGCAGCTTGGAATTGAGCCCCTCCCTAACAGGGCCCTGGGGGCCTCGGTTTACCCACCCTGAGCTGACGGGTATCAAGCTTGGTCAGTGCTGATAAGCCTCAGCATGGGCCACCTCACCACCCCTGAGATACACAAAGAGGACTTCCAATGCCCAACGGTAGCCCCCCCGCTCCTCCCTTACAGGTCAGAGCAGGGAAGAGGGAGGGGTGTGTGAAGAGAAAGCCAGCCCTACATGCACACACACATGCACACAAGCATACCCATGCAAGCACACACACACACACACACGCACAGATACACTCAAATGCACACATGCTCATGTACCAACACACATGTGGACATATATGTGCATGCACGGGCACATACGTACTTGCCTGCTCCAAGCTGTGAGAGCCTCCAGATGCCTGCATGGGGCAGAGAGAAAACATTATGTGGTAGAATATGAGATTCAGGTTTACACGGACAGGACCAAGTCTTAAATTAAACTGAACATGATGGAAATGTTTGAATCACGACTGAGGTGTCATGAAAGGAGCCTCATCCAGGGGAAAAGGAGGATTTAAAACAACATAGAGATTATCAATGATGGGAAAATGAAAACTCTTCCATGTTCATATTGAGGGGTGCTATCCAGGACTGGCTATCCAGGCCCTTCAAGAGGAGATTCCACCCATGTTTGTGCCTACTCTTGGACCACGCTCTAGTCCATTCCCGCCCCTCACCCTAGAGTTCCTCGTGCCTTCCAGAATGTGCAAGGCTGCCTCAGGCTTTCGTGCCCTGCCTCACGCTGTTCCTTCTGTCCAGGGTATCTTTCCTCTCTGTGACTGTTTGCCAAACTCCTATAAGTACTTTGAAACCCAGACCAAGCACCTCTCCTGTCTTGATTGCTCCCTCTCCGGGCTCCCACGGGCCCTAGGATATAAGCTGTCAAAGCACCTTGGATGTCTTACCCCAGTGGAATTTCATGTTGATTTGAGTCGGAGGAGATAGAAGCTGGCAGGATGCAAAAGAGGGTTGAGGGGTGCCTGGGTGGCTCAGTCGTTAAGCATCTGCCTTCGGCTCAGGTCATGGTCCCAGGGTCCTGGGATCGAGCCCCGCATCGGGCTCCCTGCTCCGTGGGAAGTCCGCTTCTCCCTCTCCCACTCCCCCTGCTTGTGTTCTCTCTCTCGCTGTCTCTCTCTCTCTCTGTCAAATAAATAAATAAAATCTTAAAAAAAAAAAGAGGGTTGAGAGCCAGACTGCTCACTGTACATCTTGTTATATGGATTGACTGTTGAGCATCGTTAATGTATTTCCTATCTGAAGAAAATTAAAGATATGATACAATACAATAAAAGGATTGTACAGCAGCTGCTGTACAATAGGGCTGCCTCAAAGCCTAGCCTCAAAGGATTGTACAGCAGCTGTGTGGAGCGCTGCTGTACAATAGACAGGAGTGAATTATTGACACATAAAATACCATGGATTCATCTCAAAAACATAATGCTGCGTGCAGCCAGCACGGTCAGGACACGCACTGTATGGTTCCATTCGCACAAAGTCTAGAACAGGAGAAATGAATGGATGGTCACAGAAAGCAGGTCAGTGGTTTTCGGGGTAGGAGGTGGGATCAGAGATCGGCTGGGAAGAGGCACGAGGGAGATTCTTGGGGTGATGCAAATGTTTTTATCCTGATGACGATGTGGCTACACGGATGTATATGTGGGTCAAAACTCCTTGAACTGTACACTTTAAAATGTCTGCATTTTATTGCATATACATTACACCTTAATAAAGCTGATTTAAAACAACGTATGCAAGAGAAAAAAATGCAGAGCCGTCCGGAGCCGAGAGTTGCAGAATCCAATTGTTGTATGTGTGGCCTGACTTGCACATGGTCTTGATGGTCTTGCACAGTGTAAGTGGGGACCGGCAGGTTCTGGGGGAGCCAGAGTGCGGGCTCAGCCAGACCTGGGCTGGTGGCAGGTCCAGCTGGAGAGGTGTGTCAGAGCCGGGTTGTGGTGGCCTCAGCTGCCACGCTGGATGTTTACATTTCAGTCTGTAGATAGTGGGGAGTGAATGGAGGTGTTCCACTAGAGAGAGGTGTTGTGGGGAGGCTCCCGGGGCAGCACCGGGCAGCAGAGCTTGGAAGAGGAACAGCTTGGACATGGCCCCACTTCCGCTACCCTCAGGCCAGAAATAAACCTCAAACAATTTCACAAGCAACCTTCTCTCCATCTCGAGTTGCTGAAAATTGGGCTGCCTCAAAGCCTAGAACCTCCCCCGCCCTCTCTCCCAATGGGCTCAGTTCCTCATCTGGCCACTGGCTTTATAAGCTCCTCGGCACTGCTGCCACCTTCAGCAAGGGAGGCTCCTACAGAAAGTGACCTCTGCCCGGGATGTTGCTGAGGACAGGATGATGGCCAGACTATACTGTGTGGTAGTCACCCTACTGCTGCTGGCAGAGGTCTCTGGGTTCGAAGAAGGGGCAACCAATCCTGGGGTTGTGGCCAGAATCACCAGAAAAGGCCTTGCATATGGTAAGGGGGGGGGGGGCGGGTGTCAGCCATTCCTCTGGTGTCCACTGTTGCCCACCAGAGTGGTGTGGTAACCAGGACAAGCGACCACAGGCTGGGATTCTGCCCCTGCCTGGCTCAGAAGCCTTGGATATGTCCCCCTCTGGGCTTCAGTTTCCTCGTCTTGAGTATCAGAGGTGAGGGACGGGACTAGACCAGCATTTTCCCTAGGGGGTCCGTGGACCACCCTGGAATTGCCGGGACATATGTTAAAATACAGATTCCAAATATCCGTCTCCTGTCAACTGAAGCTAAGCTTGGGAATCTGCATTGTGAACATATGGCCCTGGCAACAGTGAAAAACCTGAAGCTTTGACCACGCTGCAGGGAATGCATCCTCAAAAGCCTCACCATATTGTATCATTGCTTCCACGATCTTGTTGATCAACATAGATAAATAACACCCGCCATTTATCTGGCACTTTGAGTTCATGATCTAATTTAATTCTCACGCTCCGGTTGGTATCATCACTATGACCATTGTACAGTTGGGAGGAAGGAGTCTCAAGGAGTTTAAGGGTCTTGCTTGGGAGCACACCAAGAGGAAATGGCAAGTCCTACATTCAATCCCTGTCCGTGTGATTTCAAAGCCCGGCCACTCGGCTGTTGGACTTGGCTGCTTCCCACGGCATGAGTTGACTCCCACTATTTCCCCTCAGCCCGCCAACTCGGAGTAGCCATCCTGAAGAAGGAGCTGTCCACAATCAAGTTGCCTGATTTCTCAGGAAGCTTCAAAGTCAGCTGGATTAAAACTGTGAGCTATGACTTTTACAGGTAAGGTCTCTATTCTCCACCGTAGGGGCAGTGGAGGAGGCAGAATGGGGGCCTGGGTTCCTGGGGGAGGGGGATAAACATGGAATCATCACTTGGATTAAAGGCAAAAGGATCATGACCAACTCTTGTGGAGCTTCTGGAAGGTGCTATATGTTTCTTAAATCATCAGGATGGGAGGGAGAGCCTTGGAAGCCATTCACAGGCCCGGAGGTCAGTCCTGCAGAAACTAGCCCTAGATTTTTGCTCTGCCAGAGACCCCTGGCTACTCTCCTGATTGCCCAGATGAGGGACCTGCTTGAGACACACTATCCATCCCTCCAAAGCCTTTTAAGGGTCTGTAATGAAGGACTTTTAAGCTTTTCTGGAACCTGTTCGGACTTTATTTGCATACTGCTTCTTGAGGATAGCATCCACACATAACCCTAGTGAGGAATAAAGCAGCTGGCCTCCTGGTCCTGGTGAACCAGTCCCAGCTCCTCATCTCCCTCCTCATAAGGCCTAACTGACCTTAATCTCCCTGTAGCTTTTACACAGTCCATCTTAGAGTCTTCACACCTTACTCTTTCTTTAGCCATTCCTTGATTACATGGATTTTTCTTCCCCAGGCCCCAGTGGGTCCATAATAGGTTTTTGGGGATCATTTATTCATCCCTGATAGAAAAGGCTCCCTCTTGGAATCTTCCCAAAGTCTCTCAGGATAATTTCCTGAAGGCAGTGAGCAAAAAAGAGCTACTTTAAATTTGCACACACACACACACACACACACACACACACACACACACACTACCCAGGCCATGGCACTTAGAGGTCAAGGGCCCTTCCCACAACCCTAGAGCATCCCTTGCTTCTAGTTTTCACATTAGGCCACCGTGGTTTGTTAACACATCCAGATCTGCCACCAGCTGTGAGCTCTTCAAGGGCAGGATTTCAATGGATGTTTGTTGAGTGAACTAATGAGGGTTGATGCAGCAAGAGCCACAAACTCAAATGGCCACAAGGAGGGGCTGATGCAGATGAGTGTACCAGGCAGCGTGACTATACCCATCAAGGACCAGCCAAAAAAGCAGAATCCACATGAGGAAATTCAACGGGGGGAATCTAATACAGGGAATTTTCCTGAAAGGTGTTAGAACAACCAAAAAGCCAAATAGGGAACAGTGAAGCAGCCCAGAAATTAGCAACAACAGAAAGTCACTAACAACTCTAGAGCCAGAGCGTTTGCTCGGAGGACTAATATGTGCCTGGCTTTTCTGGGTTTGATATTCTGCCTTCTTCCCCAGACTGACGATCCATCGCTTCGAGCTCAGGAACTCGGATTTGAGGCTACGCCCAAGGCAGGGGGTCAGAGCATCCCTATCCAATAACTACATGTTTGTCAGTGGGAACTGGAAGGTGAAAAAGGCTTTCGTGTGAGTAGTACTTGGGTTAGGATGTCTCTCAGACAATCAGTCTACAAAGGAACCAAATCTGACCATCTCCACGTCTCCATTTATTTATCTGTAAAATGGGATTAATAATAACTCACCTTATTGATGCAGCTGTGGATTAAGTAAAATAACAGATATAAGGCATTTAGCAGTTTGCTTTTCCGGCACACAGCAGATGCTTAATAAATGCTGGCTGCAAAGTAGAGGCTCTGTTAGGATACACAGCTACTTAGAAGGGAACTGGAGACTGGTCTTTTTGCTTCTCTTCCTGGAGGTGACTGATTATACACCATTTGCTTCCCATAACTCCCAACCAGCACCCTAGATGGTACTTTCGATGTGAATGTGGATGGCATTTCCATCTCAGTCTCTCTGAACTTGGGCAAGGACCAGTCTGGACGGCCCACTGCCTCTGTGGCCCACTGCCGCAACTCCATTGGCCACATCAGCGTTGACATTTCTGGACAACTAAGGTAAGCAACTCCATGCACTTGCTGGAGATTGTCAGAGACGCCTCGGCATCCAGCTCACCCAGGGATGCTCCTGATGGGGCATAAGAGCAAGATTTAAGGTGCATCAAGATCAGAGGTCAGCCAACTAAAGGCCTACAGGCCAAACCAGTCTGTGTCATGTTTTCGTAAATAAAGTCACTGGAGCATGGCCACGCTCAGCGGCTCACATGCCGTCTGTGGCTGCTTTAGTCTACAACAGCAGAGTGGGTTACCTACGACAGAGACCATGTGGCCTGCAGAGCCCAAAATATTGACTGTCTGGACCTTTAAGAAAAAGTCCGCTGGGGCGCCTGCGTGGCTGTGTCGGTTGAGCATCCGGCTCTTGTTTTGTGTTTTCAGCTCAGGTCATGATCTGAGGGTTGCAAGATTGAGCCCTGCATCGAGCCCCATGTCAGGCTCAGCGCTCAGCACAGAGTCTGCTGGAGATGTGCTCTCTCCTTCTCCCTTTGCCCTTCCTGTGGTGGTAATAGCTCCCTACTGTCGGGTGGGGGGCAAACAGAACAAATAGCCAATTGCCTCTTTGCTGGACATGTATTTGCTGGGTGACCGTGTTGGGGGGAGAAATGTCAGCAGAAAGGTGGGGCCCTCTAATCCTGTCAGTTTCAGGGGAATTTATATTTTGGGGAACCCAGAGACTTAGCTGTGCATTTACTCAACTGACAGATGTTTTCGGCACAATACTAGAGCCTTTGAACTTAAGGCTGACATTTGGAAAAGGAAACTTTTAGTGGAGACTGGATAGCTTGAAACCACTGTGTTGTTTTAACTGGGTGAGCATAATGTCCCATTTCTCAGAAACAAAGCCATGAAATTCTGTGTGGTTAACACACACACACACAGTGGAGATGGACACAGTGGGGCCAGAAAAACATTTTTGCTCGTTCGTTAGGGTGGTCATAGCTGCATAGTTGGGTGCTATTGCTATGGACACAGAAGCATGAACACCCAGGGTCTTGACCAAAATAGGGAATTGCTAGCCTTAGTCATCCAGTTAACAAATATTTATTGATGCCTATTATTTGTCAGATCCTGAGCTAAATGTTTGGAATATAAGACGATGCAAAAGAGACAGGGTCCCTACCTTGGTGCAATGTATATTCTAGTGGGGGAAGGAGACATAAAGCATTGTAATATATATTGAATTACCTTCAACATAGTTGCGATAACATGCTTATAAAGAGAGAGTCCAGATGTTATGAATGTAGAGGGTTTACTTAACATTTGGAGCAGAGACAGTTTCTTCAAGGAAAGGATATCTGAAATGAGCCTTGAATTTTAGCACAAGAGGAGGAGAGGAGAGCTTCTCTGGTGCAGGAAGAAACATGTGCAAAGATCCTGAGGCATGAAAAGCCTGGGCTTCCCAGGAAGCAAGCAGAGGTCAGTGTACCTGATGGGGTGGTGATTAATTAGAAAAAGTGAAGAGAATAGTCAGGAGCCAAACTCTAGTCTTTATCCTGAAGTGAGGCAGCAGGAAGCCACTGGAGGATTTTAAGAAAGGCAGGGATATAATCAGATTGGCTCCAGTAAAAAATCACTTCCTTTAGAGGAGATTAGAGCAGGGCAGAGTGAGTAAAGGGAGACCCGAGAGGGGAGAGGCAGTTGTCCAGGCAAGAGATGATGATGCTCCAGGGGCAGGTGATGGCAGCAGAGGTGGGGGGAAGTGCTTGTGGCAGATTTAGAAGATTGGACTGAATTTGGGCAACAAGAGGAGGAATGGGGCCAGAATGACTTTATGTAGCCTGTGATCCATGGAAAGTTTCCTACCGCTTCAGTCTGTTCTACTTTAGCTCAATGTTGGAAGGGTACCCAGAGATGTTGGAGGAGACAGACTTTTCTAGAAGCAACACCCCCACCCACAGCTGTCAGGGACTCCAGCCATGGTCTCTAAAGTCGGGGTCATTCAGACCTACCCAGGGTCCAACATTCAGCCAGTCTATGAGTCTTGGGCTGGCTCAGGGCACAGAACCCTGGAAAGTTCAAGATGTTTTCTGCAGAACCCCAGAAAATACCTGTGTCTAATTTTACTGCATGTATTTATAATATACATACATTTATAATACACATCACTCAATCAGCAAGTATGGAACAGTAAAGAAAAATTTGTGGGAGAAGAAAATTTTACCAGACATAATTCCACTAACTTAGTTCACTTATTTCCCACAACCTCTTACCCTCACCCCAGTTGAGAACAGTGTGCAATGTCTGTTCTGGGCCATGATTCTCCCCGAGTGCTATCTGTGGTGGGGAAGAGTCTCTGAGGGCAGCTTTACCTGAAGTGGGTTAGACTCACATCATGCGCTCCATGAGCTTATTCACCAGCGTCCCCTCAACACCTAACTCAGTGCTCAGCTGGTTGAAGGAGCTCAGTAAATGTTTGTTGAATGAATGAGTGAGTGACTACTTGCTAAACTGCCAGGTAGGTTGTTCTGTGGATTTTGTAGGTTATAAAGAATAGGCCTGACTCCGCTTCGTTCTCTTTAATGAGGTATAAATGACATGCAGCACCACAGTAGTTTCAGGTATATGACACAGTGATGGGATACTTGTAGACATTGTGAAATGATCAACCACAATAAGTCGCATTAACATCTGTCACCAGGGGCGCCTGGGTGGCTCAGTCATTAAGCATCTGCCTTCGGCTCAGGTCATGATCACAGGGTCCTGGGATCGAGCCCCGCGTCAGGCTCCCTGCTTGACGGGAAGCCTGCTTCTCCCTCTCCCACTCCCCCTGCTTGTGTTCCCTCTCTCGCTGTGTGCCTCTCTGTCAAATAAATAAAATCTTTAAAAAAATAAAAATAACATCTGTCACCATGCATAGTTAGAAAATTTGTTTGTTGTGATGAGAACATTTTAAGATCTACTCTTAGCAACTTCCAAATATGCAATACAGTATTATTAACTGTAGTCACCAGGTTGTATATCACATCCCCAGGACTTATTTATGTATAACTAGAAGTTTGTACCTTTTGACCTCCTTCACCCATTCTGGCCTCTGCCCCTGCAACCACAAATGTGTTCTCTGTATCTATGAGCTTAGTTGTTGTTGGGTTTTTTTAAGATTCCACATATAAGTGAGATCATGTGATATTTGTCTTCCTCTGTCTGACTTATTTCATTTAGCATAATAGCCTCAAGGCCCATCCATGTTGTTGCAAATGGTAAGATATCCTTTTTTTAAAATTTTTTATTGTTATGTTGATCACCATACATTACATCATTAGTTTTTGATGTAGCGTTCCATGATTCATTGTTTGTGCATAACACCCAGTGCTCCATGCAGAACGTGCCCTCTTTAATACCCATCACCAGGCTAACCCATCCCCCACCCCCCTCCCCTCTAGAACCCTCAGTTTGTTTTTCAGAGTCCATCATCTCTCATGGTTCGTCTCCCCCTCCGACTTACTCCCCTTCATTCTTCCCCTCCTGCTATCTTCTTCTTCTTTTTTTTCTTAACATATATTGCATTATTTGTTTCAGAGGTACAGATCCGTGATTCAACAGTCTTGCACAATTCACAGCGCTCACCATAGCACATACCCTCCCCAATGTCTATCACCCAGCCACCCCATCCCTCCCACCCCCCACCACTCCAGCAACCCTCGGTTTGTTTCCTGAGATTAAGAATTCCTCAGGTAAGATATCCTTTTATATGGCTGTCTAATATTCCTCTGTGTGTGTGTGTGTGTGTGTGTGTGTGTACCACATTTTCTTTATCCTTTCATCCATTGATGAACACTTAGGTTGTTTCCATACCTTGCTTATAATAATGTTGCAGTGAACATGGCGTTGCAGAGATCTTTTCAAATTAGCATTTTCATTTTCTTCCAATAGCTACCCAGAAGTAGAATTGATAGATCATATGGTAGTTTTATTTTTAATTTATTGAGGATCCTCCACACTGTTTTCCATACTGGCTGCACCAGTTGACATTCCCACTAACAGCATACGAGAGTTCCCCATCTGGTTGGGTCCCTTCATGGGATAACATGGGGGAAGTTCAGATCCATGGGTAGCCCTCTGTTTGGGAGTCCTAGTTAATCATAAAGTGAATCCTGATCCTCTTTCCTCTTTCTTCCAGCTGGATCCTGAACCTCCTCCATAAAAGAATTGAAAACAATTTCAAAAATATCTTGGAACAAAAGGTAAACAAAAGGTTAAGTAGATTTGTGATTAATACAAGGATCATTGGCAATTACATATTTGATATTTGGAAACAGCCTTGTCTCTTAAATACACTGTCAATTGAATTTGCTTAGTAAAACTTGCTTCATTCATGGTGCAAAGGCCAACTTCAAGGCTTTCCCAAGTTTGTATGACCACATATGCTAAATTGGCATTTGGAACTGGCAGAGTGTTTGATATCTAGCTGTAGATAATGTTACAGAGATACAGAGAAGTGACTTTGAATCCTTCTCTCACACCATACACAAAATCAAGTCCAGGTGGTCTAAGGATTTAAATGCCGAAACAAATCCAAAACTTCTTAGGAGAAAATCTATGATATCTTTCTCACTTTGAGGAGAGGAAAATATTTCTTAAATAAGACTAACCCCCCCCAAAAAATACACAATATTGAGAACAATAGTGGGGCTGGCCTCTCACCTCTGGAAAAAGGCTTGGAGGCAAAGAGTGCCTCTTCCATTTGCCTGGTGTGTATCTTTGGGCACAGTGATGGACCCCCTGGAGCCTCACTCTATTCATTTGTAAAATGCGGACAAGGACCCCTACCTTGAAGGGGGCTGGCAAGGATTTGATGCAATAACCACTTAGCAGCACCTGGCACACAGGCTGTGCTCAGAGCACTCACCAGTACTGCAGAGTCATTTCTCCACCACATTTCACCTCCTAGAATCTTCGCTCTTGAGCACATGGGTTCTGCAGTCATGGGTTTAAATCTCAGCTCTGCCCCTTTGCTGGCTGTGATGCCGTGATTAACTGGCTTACCCTCTATGAGCCTTGGGATTCTTGTCTGTAGAACAGGAATAATGACGGCATCTACCCTGCAGGGCTGTTGGGAGGACTGTATGACATCATACACACAGGCCCTGAGGAGTGCCTCATACAGAGGAAGGGCAGAGTCAATGGCGCAAGGTTATTTGCATTGTCATTTATGCACCAGTAACCCTGGGCAACAGGCTGAGGCCAGAGGCAAGCTGTGGTCTCTGCCCTACAAATATAGGAAACATGGTCCAGAAAACTCTGGATACCATGTGTCCAGGAGGGGTGGGGTGGGTGTCAGAGAGGCTGAGCCCGAGGAGTGGTCAGTTTCAGGGGATGGGGGCACTGACTATGGCCCTCATGGGGCTGAGAGTGCGAAGAGAGCCATGAACAGAGAGAGGACCTCTGACTAGGGGACGTGGGGTGATGAAGTCAGGCCCCCGAAGGGCTGGTGGCCTGGGTGGCGCTGCCCTTACCTTGTGCCCCAGGAGAGGCCAGGTCAGGCCCACCTAACACAGGCTGGCTTGGTGTTTGCACAAAACGTTGGTTCCCAAAGTGGAAAAGCTTCCCCCAAAAGAAGTGTTGATTTTAAGTGATGTGGAGCTTTGGTACTGCATCATGCAGAATGACAGAATGAACAAGACATCGCCTTTGCAATCCTTTTTCTCTTTCTTTTTACACCAAAGAGAAAGTCTCAGTTTGGGGCCGATGTATCCTAAACACTTTTAACAAAAAAGGGGCATTACCCAACTAGGCAACCCTATCTAGCCTGGCTTCCAGGATGCTTTTTCAGTCCCTTGTATTCTTTTTACCCCCAGTTATATCGTGTTTATGCCAAGGGATGCCAGTTTTCTGTTGACGAGTGATATGAAGTTCCTGTATTTTTTAAAAAAATTTTTTTTAAGATTTTATTTATTTGACACAGAGAGAGACAGCGAGAGAGGGAACACAAGCAGGGGGAGCGGGAGGGGGAGAAGCAGGCTTCCCGCCGAGCAGGAAGCCTGATGTGGGGCTCGATCCCAGGACCCTGGGACCATGACCTGAGCCGAAGGCAGACGCTTAACAACTGAGCCACCCAGGCACCCCAAGTTCCTGTATTTTTTATTAAATGAATGTGATTTTTTAAAGGCCACTGGACGTTAAATAGTTGGTACGTAAGTGAATAGGTGAGAAAGATAAAGTCATAGAGATGGTATAGGAATAGCTGAAGTTAGGAAATCACAAGACAGGGGACTTCTGGGATCTCCCAAGCCAGAACTCTTTTTTTATTGTTATGTTAATCACCATATATTACATCATTAGTTTTTGGTGCAGTGTTCCATGATTCATTGTTTGTTCATAACACCCAGTGCTCCGTGCAGAACGTGCCCTCCTCAATACCCATCACCAGGATAACCCATCCCCCTCCCCCCCTCCCCTCTAGAACCCTCAGTTTGTTTTTCAGAGTCCATCATCTCTCATGGTTCGTCTCCCCCTCTGACATACTCCCCTTTTCTTCCTCTCCTGTTATCTTCTTCTTTTCCTTTTTTCTTAAAATATGTTGCGTTATTTGTTTCAGAAGTACAGATCTGTGATTCAACAGTCTTGCACAATTCACAGCGCTCACCATAGCACATACCCTCCCCAATGTCTATCACCCAGCCACCCCATCCCTCCCACCCCCCCACCACTCCAGCAACCCTCAGTTTGTTTCTTGATGTACAGAAGAGCAAGCATGTTGGTGGCCGGCTGAGGAATGGGATTCTCACGAGAACTTCTCACTAGTCCTTCTGGCTTTGCTTTGGGGCCCTCTGGTGGCCCTAGTCAGTAAGGCCTGCAGACCAGGCACCACGCTCCTTAGGATGCCTTATTCCCAGATAGCCAGGAGCCTGAACAGGAAGAGGAGAAGGGGCTGAGGAACGAGGTGATGGGGCCTCTGGTTCAAGAGCTGCCTCCTACACCTGGAAACTCTCCAGCTTTGCCCCTAGGCTCTCTAATAAATGCGTTTATGTGCTATACGTCTTGCCGCTTAGCTGCCAAGATATTGAACTGAAGACCATGACAATAGCAGACCCCAGAGCAGTGCCAACTTGGCCACCATTCACTTGTAATGTGGGTTCCAGAAAAGTCTAGGCACTTAAGCTGGGCCCATGTATGTAGCCCAGTCCGAATGGGACAGTGACCAAGCGCTGTGTGTTGACGGAGGTAGTGGCCCCTTCTCCCTTTCGACCTGCTCTTTCACCCCTCACACACCCGCCTACAGGGTGAGGAGAAAAGCCGGGTTTCTTGGAGGGCGGTGGGGGAGGGGCAGGGCCCAGAAGAGAGGGAGAAGGGAACTCACCTGACTTTCTCCCCCACTTTCGGCAGATCCGCGAAATGGTCAGGAAGTCAACCACCTCTCACCTGGAGCCCTATCTCCGGACTCCGCCAGGTTTGGAGGCCCCCTCCTTTCTCTGGGTGCCATCAGATGCCATGACACCTGTTACCCCCAGACCCATGACCACCATCATCTCAAGAGCCCCAGGAGAACTTTCCCCATGGAGTACCTCTCCATCCCATGGAGCTGGATATGGGGTGACCACCTCTCTTGGAGGTCTGTTCTGGAGATAGGGGAGTAAGGTGACTGAGTATCGTGACTCGGAAACATGCTGGGAGCGCGAGGTAGGCAGAGGATGACAAGCATATGGGAGAAGCACGTGTTGGCTCTTTCCTGGCTGCTTTAACAAAACAGGGATGCTCTGAAATCCCTGCGTAAGGCCAGGGATCCTCCCAGCCCTGTCCCTCTGGCTGCCACAGGGACCTTTTACAATCACACATCAGGTCAGGTCTCCCCCTGCTCTTGGAACCCATCGAAGACTCCTCTGACTCTCAGAACACTGAGCCCCGCTTCGAGTGACAAGGCCTTGCATGGTCCGGCAATGTGGCCGGCCACACAGTCCCTATATGCCTCCAATATTGCTAATTCCTCTAATACACCCTCTATGCTTCCACTCTGGTCCTACAGCTACCAGACCTTTACATATGTCATTCTTTCTGCCAGGAATGTCCTTCCCCCACATCCACCACCCTTCACCCAGTCAACACCCACTCCACCTTCAGATCATCCTTCAGATCACAGCCCAAGCAACACTTCCTCTGACTCCCTGTCCGAATCAGGTTGCATTCCCCACCCCCTGTTATATGGCTGACATCATCCTATGGATTTATGCTACCCAATAGAGTTGCTATTTTACATTTATTTGCTCAAGTATTTGATTGTCTTTTCCTTTCCTCCCCCTCCGCCACACCCTGGACTCTCAAAGGACAGGGATTCCGACTATCTCACTCAGCTGTTTCATCAGCCCCTTACATTGTGCCTGGCATATAGCAGGTGTTCAGTAGATATTGAATGAATGAGTGGATGAATACAGCACTCTCTTTGTGACTGAAGGTACCATAGATCAGCCCCAGCCCCATTTCCATTCTCCAAAGACAACAGTCCATGTGAAAGGAGAGCCCAGGAATTGTGCGGTACACAACTCACTCAACTGTGTTTGACTGCCCTATTCATAACACTTCTCTTTCCTGTTCCACAGTTAGCTCAAGGATTGATCAGGTTGCCGGCATTGACTACAGTTTAGTAGGTGCTCCCAAAGTGACTTCTCAAGTCCTAGACACACCCTTCAAGGTAAGCTGCTGTGGAGAAAGGACCTTAGAGCTAAAGACTGGCAGAAAATCAGTCCTACCTCCCAGAGTTGGCTCCTACCCTCCTTCCCTAATCCATCTGCCCCTAAAGTTCCCATCCCTGGCCAGTGCCTACACCAGCAATAGGAAACTAATATGCCCCCTCTTTATTTCAGTCTCTTCCACAGTTCCCTGGTGGCTGAGCAGGTCCGGGAATGCCATCTTCCTCCAATTTTGTTTACTTAGCAAACACTTAATATGCTTCTTACTATGTGCCAGATGCTGAGTATTTGTACAAACGTTCACTTATATAAATTTTATGCCACCTCTATGAAATAGAAGCCATTAGCCTCATCCTCATCCTGCAGATGAAGAAGTTGAGGCACGAGGAAGCTAGGGACCTGCTCAAAGTCCCAGCGCTAGGAAGTGACAGTTAATCTCTAGAGTCCATGCTTTCCACCACCAGGCCACATCCTGAGCCCTGGAGAGCACAACACGTACCTCCCCAGCCGACACTGTAATGGGGGTTTCAGGCAGCTGTCAGGGTCTAAATGTTGTGGGACCGGAAGTGGGCCCCAGATCCACATTCTAGAGAGGAGCCACCACCTGGACCACCGTGCAGGGCACAGGAGGCTTCCCCAGGCTTGCCCTAGATGCCTCTTCTTGGCACCCTCTCTGGTAGGAACCTTGGGAGGGCGATGTGTCCTTCTGTCTCCAGGGTGAATTCTTTGGCCAAAACTGGCACTCCCCAGCCCTCTTCGATGCTCCGCCCATCAGGCTGCCCGAGAAACATGACCACATGGTCTACTTTGCTGTCTCTGAATATGTCTTCAACACAGCCAGCCGGGTTTACCACCAGGCTGGGCTCATGAACTTCACCATCCAAAACCACCACGTGAGTAGGGGAGGGAGAAGGCTGGAGGTGGGGGGGATTGGTGGAATCCCATGAGAGAGCATCAGGCTGGACCATAGACCAAGCTTGGGGGTTTTCAGGAGCCAGGGAAAGAATGTATAATCTGAAGCCTGACAAATATGGGTTCAAATCCAGGCTGTGCATGTGGATCCCAACAGTGCCTAGTCCCCAGGGATCGTGTGAGAGATTGTCTGATGAGAGCTTGGTGTCTGATGCACGATACATATTAGCTATTATCGGCAATACTTTAAAAAACTACAACAGGCTCTGCGGTATCCTATCAGGTCCTCCAAGCAGCAGATGCCAAGGCGGCACTAGACTTGGAAGAGATGGAGTAGGGGAGCCCCCGCGAAGGATAAAGGGGAGAGAAAGGAGGAGTGGGAGGGGAGTCCTGAAACCGTGGAGGAGAGGGAGGCAAGCACACTGGGCAGAAGGGCCGCCCCGCAGGTCTGAGAAGGCTCTGCTCAGCTGAGGGAGGGCACAGAGCAGAGCCTGCTGCTCAGAGGAGCTCCGGAGCAGGCAGAAATTGGACGAGCCTGGCTCCAGGCTAAAATCCCGTGCGTGATCTTTCCAGCCTGACCACAGGCAATTGCAAAGTCTTGACCTGGCGGGTCCTCCCGGACTAGATTTGCTGCCGGGCCAGTGCTCATCAGTGTCTGGAGGGAGCTGTGGTCAAGGACTCAAGCCTCTGCCCCATCCCCTCCTCAGACTGGGGCTGGCGGTGCTCTTAGGCTTATCTGCATGCCAACCCTAGACACCTCGTTCAGAGGCCTCCTTAGGGATGGGGCTAGTGGGGGCTCCCCAGATGAGACTGCTCTGGTGCCTCTGCTGAGATCCCCTGGCTGGGGCCTGGAGGACAGCTTTCTCCAGTCTGACTCGGTACTCAGTCCTATTCTACTAGCCCTCCTCGCCCTGGGTCCATAAAACAGCAGGAGCCTTTTCTTTGGGGCTCCTCTGGCAATATGGTGACCCCCCTCCTCCCCTCTGCTGATGCATCTGACCTCACGGATGCCAGGCCACAGGGGAAATGGAGTAGTGGGGGCCGGTACCCTTTCCTGTTTAGCCTCTTGCTTACACTATCGTGGTAAGTGGATGAGGGCTTGTGACTTTCAGTTTGGCTCATAGTCTTGATCCTGCCCGTGATCTGACAAAATTCTCCAGCGCTACACCCCGGCTGTGCTCAGTCAGGGGCTGGAGGCTGTCTGGAAGAGCGAGGCCCCAGCATGAATGGCTGTCAGCCAACTGCCCTTCTCGCAGGGGACCCCCCCCCCGAAGGGAGGTCTGAGCCATGCACCCCCACAGCCAAGCACTATAGGAGCAGCCCGGGTAAAGAGGGGATCTTGAGGGAGGAGAGATCAAGGAAGGTGGGCTCTGTGCAGGTACAGGCAGGGCTTGCCAAGCTGGGAGATCAACAAGTCAGAGGGGCGGGTTGAGAACAGCACCAGGAGAGAGGGTTTTTGGGGGGGCAGACACCAGGAGAGAAGTTTGGGGGGCAGCCATATCTGGAAGTAGATTCAATCCAGGTTGTGGTGGTTATGAGCTCTCACTGGCTCTTGAGGGGAGCATCCTAAGAAATAATAAATAACAAAAGCAGACAGTAACTAAGTATTTACTGAGATTCCAGGCACTGCGCTTAGCGCTTTACCCATGCACTGTCTCATTCAATCCTTGCCCATGCTGCATGGTGAGTGCTATGATTATCATCCCCATTTTACAGATGCAGAACCTAACAAAGCTTGCCAACAAGCAGTCAGCTAAAAAAATGGCGGGAGTAGTATTTGAACCCAAGCTGTCTAACCTCAAAGTCCACATCTCTAGCTACCATGTGCTGCATCTCAAGTAGCCTCTTGCTTCTACTGCAGATTCCCCCTGGACTCTCCAATCCACCTGCACACCAGCTCATTCCGGGCCATTATTCCTCAGGTAAGACCTCTGAACACTCATCACAGAGAATTTGACCTAGACCAAATGTGGAGATTGTAGTTGCACATCAGTGAGCTGTGCAGAGACTTTTCTCCTGCCCTCCCCCTGAGCCTCTGCCCTCTTTCTCCAGCTGGCTAGGTTGTACCCCAATATGGAGCTAGAGCTTGAGACATCACCTGAATCAGCTCCATTCCTGATGTTCACCTGTGGGAGTGTGACCCTCCTGCCGGTGATAGACATCCAGGCCTTTGCTCTCCTGCCCACCTCCTCTGACCGCAAGCCACTCTTCCAGCTCAGGGTGGTAAGTCTCATCTCTGGGTTACATCTGCCATTGGGTAAGCCCCTCTCTCCACTGAAGGACTGGGAGACTGACTTCTGCCTGCCCGCAGAGTGAGGGAAACTTGCATTCCTGGCCAGAACAACCAGGCTTCCCAAGGGCAGGCAAGAAAATCCTGAAAGGCAGAGAGAAAAAGGTAGATCAGCCAGGGGCCTCCGGATCTAAGGAATAACATGATGATGAGCTCCCTGGGGTTTCTTTTTGCCCTGCATATTCCAATTTGGGGCAACCCAGAAACACCAACAGGCACGAACAAAAAACAGCCCCAATAACATCCTCCTCTCTCTAGCCAAAGGACCAAAAAAGGGGCAACCTAGTAAGATAGAAAACTTGTAGACAATCAATAACTGTGCTACTAAAGACAAACACCAGAGAAAAAGCTATGGCCCTAACCCCACCCAGGCCAGTAAAGCCTGACTGGGGATCTGAGACTTACACTGGCATGAAGCTGTAACAATATGCCCCGACATCCCGGCTGGGGGTGTCAGTGGAACAGAGAAAAGAACAAATTAATTAAGATGTAGAACAAAAGAAATTACCCAATCTGAATGAATAGCCTGAAAAAATGAACAGAGCCTCAGGGACCCGTGGAACTACAGCAAAAGATCTCATCTTCCTGTCCTCAGAGTCTAGGAGGGGAGAAATTGGGAGTGGCTGGAAAAAGTACTCAAAGAAATAATGTCCATCATCTGGTTCAACCCCACCCCTCGACAGGCCAGGCTTCATCCTCACACCCAGCTATCAATTGGTGGTGTCTTTAAAGTTCCCTAAGGCTCAGGGACTCTCTACTTCTCTTAGTAGCATGCTTCAAAGTTCAGTCATGCTTACTGGTGGACGGCCTCCCTATTAGAATGTTCTGTGTCTTTAGCTTGAGCTTATTTACCCCTCTTGATGCTTCCATTATAATCTCTAAAACCTTAGCTCACCTTTCCTAAAGTTAGCTGTGGGGCCACCAACATGCTACATCCTCAGCCCATAATCCTTGGGTAGCTGCTTTTCACCCACATGTCCCACATCTGGCTGTGGTTTCTATTTCTGAAGATCTGTCTCCTGGACTGGGAGCCAACAAGATTTCTACGTCCCCTGAGAGTCTGGGTTATCCCTTTTTCTTTTCTAGACAACGAACATCTCTGCCACCATCAGTGTGAACTCCGATAAGATTGTTGGTTCAGTGACCACAGGAAGGTTAGAGGCCATGGGCAAGGGGAGGAAATGGGGTAGGTTGGGGATAACCCAGCAGGGACCAGAGCATCTAGTCTGTTCTCTGATAAGGTTGGCATTGACCCTTGGGGACAGAGATCTCCACTGGGGCTGGCTTATCCTCTAATCTGTGTGCCCCTTTGGAAAGGCATATTGACAATGCCTCAGCTGAACTTCTGCAAAGGTATTACTGAGGAGCCATAATTTGGTTGGAAGACATGGGGCTTTGCGAGGACTTTATATATAAGATTGAGAAAAACCTGTCAGTACTGCATATCAGAAAGGGAGGAGATTTTAGATGGAGGATTAAAGGTGCCCCCCGAGCCACCCCTTGCTGCCCGGACACCCAGTCAGCAGGCACATACTCAACCAGGGAGCCAGTGGGCGGGAGGGACTATACCGCCAGGGGGTATAGGGACTATACCCCTTCTCTGGGGCCCTAACCTGTGCCCCGTGTCTCACCCACTCTGGGTGCTGCCCCTGGCTGAGGAACAGGTGCAGTGGGCGCAGAGGAATTAGTCAGAGGAACTAATTCCTGGCCTCAGGTTTAGATACCTGTTGGCTGAGAGAGTGCACTGACTCCATTAAAATGATCATCTCCTTGAGAGATCTTTAAAAAGAGAAGCTAATGTTGAGCTTGTGGGAATTTTCTGGAGGTCCCAGAATTTGAGTTTATGCCTCAGCCTGGCTTGGGGGGTATGCAGTATCTGAGAGGACAGCAGAGAGCTTGGACTATGGAGAGACAGCAAAATGAGGCGGACAGAGGAGGACCTCACAAGGTGGTTTTATCAAGGAATTAGCAAAACTACTCTGCCCCATGAGCAGAGAGCAAAAGATCGGTCCAGGGCAGTTATAATCCCTGAACAAGGGAGCCAGGCCAGCAGCCAAGAGGATCAGTGGGGGCAATTCAGGTTTGGCTTCTATAGTGACAACACCAGAGGTCCCCTGGTGTTGTCCTCCACCTTCCTTCCCTCCAGCGGGTACCAGCTGTTTGCCAGCATCACGCAGGGGCTCTCCCTCCTTTTGTTATTGTCTATTCCCACATTATGCAAATAATGCGTGCTCATGGCATGGAAATTGCAAAAGTATTAAAAAAAATCCCTCATAACCTTGCCACGTAGAGACTATCACCACTAGTAGTTTCATGTTTCCTTCCAGCCTTTTTTTTTTATACACTTTTACATCATTGGACATACAGAGCACGACTTTTTGCATCCCACTTTTTCCAGTTAATATTTACACCATCCTAATGTATTTCAGTTATTGAAGATGCTCAGCAACCATAAGTTGCAGCAATGTCACTTCTTCTTAAATCACTGTGCATGCTGAAAGCGTTAGATGCACAAGCACCCCATTGCAGAGGAACCCTTGGGCGCCCAGCCCCCAGAAATGGCCTTGCCCGTAAACGCTGTACTCCCCACTGGGGTAACTGCGAGGAAGTAGCAGGCTTGGGGTGACTGACCCATGCTTCTCTTTCTCCACGCAGTAAGCTGAAATTGGAACTGAAACCCCCCAACATCCATTTCATCAACGTGAGTGCTTTTCTCCCAGCACCTCTTGGGTATCATCTCCAAAGAGGGCTTCAGGGGGCTCCAGGAGAAGCTCCAAGGCTCTCTGAGAAGACTGTGCTGCAGTCTTGCAGAAGCGGATGCCATGTCTGAAAGTTAATCATCTGAGAAGGGCACTGTCTGAGGGCTAACGGGGAGACAGGACAGGGACATTAAGAGCACAAGCTTTGAAGGAAGATAGATCTGGGATCTGACACCAGCCATGCCACTTGTTACTGTGTGACCTTGGGGAAATAGCTTAACTTTTCTGAGCCTCAGTTTCCTTGACTGTAAAATGGGAATACACGATTTCTACTTCAACCACTTCCAATGGGAACTGTAACATGAAACGGGGCAGTGGATTTAGGAAGACACTTTGACAAAATTCTTCACACGTAGTAAGCTCTAAGTTTATGCTTACTATTGTAATAATAGTGGCCCGGGTGCACAATGCCCTACCCAAAGCCCTCAGGGCTGATGGGCTTCAGAATTAAGAATTTATGAGAGGTAATTTGGAGCATGCATGCATCATATGTGATATAACTCTTCCAGCAGGATCTGGGGCAGCACTCTATAATCAGACACATTAATACTTCTGCAACAGAATTTAAAAATATCCACACAAAGTGGAATAAAGAAATACTAAATATCCCCATGGCGATTCAGGTCATATTTTTCCATAAAATGAGCTTGTACGTACTGATGGAGAATGAAGTCCAGAGATTGGAGTTGAGGAGATTGTGGATAAGGAGCTGTCTACCTTTGCTGGTGACAGTCACAGTCAACCCGTTTTGTAAGTGGGTTGGCATGTAGGTGTTTCTGGAGGCAGGGGGCCAGCGAGACGTTGTTCCCTCAGACTCCTGTTTTCATGCATGTCTCGTTTGCTCCCTTTACTCTGCCTGCCCCCCACTCCAGGTGGAGCTGATGGAAGCCATCTTCAATTACTATGCGCTCCACACATTATACACCTCTCTCAACGGTAAGAATAGCTGCTACTGGGGCACCTGGGTGGCTCCGTCGGTTCAGTGTCCTACTCTCTGTTTTGGCTCAGGTCATGGTCTCGGGGTCCTGGGATCGAGCCCCGCGTCCGGCTCCGCGCTTAGCGCAGAGTCTGCTTGGGATTCTCTCTCTCTCCCTCTCCCTCTGCCCCTCCCCCTGCTCGCGCGTGCGCTCTCTCTCTAAAATAAATAAAATGAAATCCTAAAAAAAAAGAAAAGAAAAAAGAATAGCTACTACTGACCAGTGCAAATGTTCAATTCTACTCTTTCTGTAGGATTCATGGATCAGTCGGCCAGTCAACAAGCTGAGCCCCTCTTCTGCCCTGGCTAGGGTCCTGGCAATCCGTGAGCCCGCCCTCATAGAGCTTACGCTCTGTTGGGAAGGGAGACATGTTAACAGGCAGTGACAAATGCTGTGACAGGAAGCACAGGGGGCTGCAGGAGCTAGGAGGGGGCACTGAACATGACTCCAGGAGGTGAGGGTCAAGTTGAGTCCCAAAGCACAGGGAGTTAGGCCAAGGGAGAAGGGGCATTCCAAGCTGCACCTGGAGAACACCTGGAGTTAGTACCCCTGGGTTCTGGTCCAGGTTAGGTCACTGACTTGCCAGGTGACCTTGATGGAAATAGTGCTTGGCATGGTGGCTGCCTGAGAACCTGGCCGGCCTCCTCCCATGCCAGGGCCTTCTCCGCCCGGCCTCACCATCTGCCTTTTACCACATGAGATAAGAGCAGGGCAGTTGTCCTGGAAAAGACAAAGGGGAGGAGATGGTGGTCCTCGGGTGAGTGTCTGGTCAGAAGCACTGCATGCCCCATCCCAGGCCCCTTTGGCTGGTGGAGGCTGGCTGTCCACATCTGTCCCCTCCTGAAGAAGCTGCGTTTACCAGGCATTCCTCCAACAGAAAACCAGCCCTGAATCCAATAGCCGACCACATTTCGAAGTAGCCCGCCCTCTCACTGGCCATAAGCGTGTGTCCCCAACCTTCCCTGTCCAACCCGTGTCTCTCTGCTCTTTATCTTCCAGCAAAGCTTGAGGAGGGCTTCCCTCTCCCTCTGCCAAGGGACACCCACCTCAACAGTTTGGAGCTCCAAGTCCATGAGGTCAATGAGACGTGGGGTCTGGGTGGGAAGCTCTAAGACCTCCTGGGAGGGCTGCTTCGGGGCTGGTAGCATTAGGGGGAGCCCCTGACTCCTACTCACATCCTGGACCTAATGCTCATCGGAAAAAATATTTTAAATTTTGGAGCACAGATGGCAAGTGTTGATTGTGTGGAATCTTGACTTCCACATAAGCTCAGTTTCCAGTAATTCAGTTCAATCACATCAACTGAATATCAACAGTGTGCAGGGCCCATTAGCCACGTATGGCAGGAAGGGGTCAGATTAGATGCACCACTTCTGGGTCAATGAGCCAGAAGCTCCTGGGTGGTGTGAGAGTGTCCCCGGGGACACCAGCCAGCCTTACCACCTACAGCAGCAAGGCCTGGTCCTGGAGCAAAACTGACCAGGCCTTTTAGGGCAAGCAACACCTCAGGAGCAAGGACAGGGACAATGACAGTTCACTCTATAACTCCAGAGGTACCAACGTCTTCACTGCCCATAGTATATTCTAAGGTAATCCTGGACTACATCCTCATAAACTAATTATGTGAGGGGGTAAATTCTGGCAGCACCCAGACGTGCATTGTTCTCCTGGGAGAAACAACTTTTGGAGGGGGACAGTGACATTCATGCGTGTCTTCCAGAAATCAGACTATTGGGAAATGCAAATAAATTCCTGGGGTCAGGCAGCTAAGAGGGACAGTGTTTTCTAAAGCCCTCCCAGGCCTGAAGGCTGGGTTTTTGCCCTGACCTGGTTTTCGGGTCAAGTGAGAACTTGCCTCTCCCACTGAAGCTTTCTCTTTCAGGGAGCCCCATGCTCCGCGGCTCAGAAAATGATCTTTCTGGTGGGTCCTTTTTGCCTCCTCTCCAGAACTTCTTGCTCTTGGGGGCCAACCTTGATTAGGCTGAACACTGAGGAAGGAGCAACGTGGCTGGAGGAGGGGACGACATCACAGCTGGGCCTGCCCCTGCCCCTGCCCCTGTAGGGGTCCGAAGGTTGTGGTCACTCTGCCTCCACCCCCATGAGGACCTCCTCCACATGGACGCTCGTCACCGGGGAGCCTGGGACACCCGAACACACACCTGACCGTGGCATGCCTTCCCCGCCTTTCTCTTCCTCTTTCCTGTCCCCTTCGCAGCTGTCCTTAGCCTTACTCTGGGCAGCCTCTAGAATAAACTTCAGTGAGCCGTGTCCAGTCACCACAGAGCTCAAAGCACCCTGCTCAGCATTCAACATGAGCTTAGTCGTACGTGTCCTTTGTTGTGGTTACAGGAGCAGAAGTGAGACAACGTGCGCTTAGAGCCTTGTGTTGCTGCTTCCTTGGTGCATAATATTTATCGAGATGGGAGCAGAGACCACCCAGCCGCTATATGAGTTCCACATTTATTCAACAAACCTCGATCTCAATTTGCTAATGATCGTCCGGCACTGGCTTCTGTCTCTGGGCTTGGTGCTGCGGGAGGAGGGTGTCAAAGAGAAGAAAACACATGGTCTCTGTCTTCACCAAGCTTACGGCCAAAAACAGGGGCCAGAAGACTTTTTCTATAAAGGGCCAGAGAGCAGATCTTTTAGGTTTTTACCACACATCTAGTCTCCGCCGGGAATACTCCTCACGGCCACTGTAGCAGAGAACAGCCAGACAGCGAGCAAGTGGGCGTGGCTGTGTCCCAATAAAACTTTGTTTGCAAAAACAGACAGCAGGCCAGATCCAAGCCGCGGACCACGGTGTGCCCACCGGTGGTCTAGAAGAACACATAGGATTTATGCCGTGAATACAAGCCTGGTTTTCAATTAGGAGATGTGCTAACATATCCTACCTGGGTCACAAGAGTAATAAAGAGCACAAGCTGGAGGCAAGTCTGGCCTGCTTTCAAATCATGGCTCCCTCTCCTTGGCTCTCCATGATTCACGAAATCTCTCCGAACCCCCGGAATCTTCAGTTTCAATATAGCACGAGCAGTGGCCAAGGACCAGGCCACCCGAAGCCTTCTGCTCAACCTTAAACGTGTCGAATGACTTAGTTGTACTTGTCATTTGACGTCATGACATGGGGAAGGCGGGAGGTTGAAATAAATTATTTGGAAAGTGCTCAGGGCAATTCTTGGCCCGTGCTGCGCCAGATCAATAAACTAGCGCTGTCATCATCATCCACTCCTCATTATTAAAGACCACTTCATATACTAGGAGAGTAGGATGACAGATTTTCAAATTTAAAAAAATCTGTCTTGCACCGTCAACCAAAATCATACCTATGGTGAGATCACAGAGGTGTTGCGTTTTTTATCTTGGAAGGCCCAGGAAATGAGCCAGGAATGTCTGATGACCTTGACCAGGAAAACCCAAGGTGTCTAAAAGTGAAGACGCGAGATGGTCAGCCGGGATGGTGAAAGAGAATGAACCGAAGTGAAACATTATCCTGGAATGCTCAGTTAATTATCAGAGTTACGATTTTCCCTGTAGATTATTCTATCTCCTCTGTTGCCCTAATCATCGGCTGTTGGAGAGCAACTAGCAACTGTCCAGCCTCCTCCTCTGCCCCTTCCTTCTCTGTTTCTGCAACCTCACACCCACTCTCCTTCCGCTGGGGGAGCACAGTTCCAGACCTACCCCCGAGCCATGCCTGCTCCCATCTTCCCCTGTGGGTGTGCAGGGTTGCCACATATGGTCATGCAGGCCGTGCACTGCACAGCTCTTGAGAGCACCATTCACATCGTGGTCTGTAGCCGAGATGCAGAGATGGTGAGACATGCCATAGAAAAGGCTTGATTTAAGCCAAGGTTCCTCAACCTCAGCATGATGGACATTTTAGGCCAGATAATTCTTTGTTGTGCGGGACCGTCCTTTTACATTGTTGGATGTTTAGCAGCTTCCAGGCCTCTACCCACTAGATAGGGGCACACCACCCCACACACACAATGGTGCCCACCAAAAACGTGTCCAGACATTGCCAAGAGCCCCCTGCGGTGGGTAAAATAGCGCCATGTTAAGGACCGCTGACAAAGGAAAGATGTTCTCCCAGCATATCCTACTCTGGTGAGAGCCCTATGTTAGCCCATCCTAGGGGAAGACAGAAAGTTCCAGCCTTGCCCCAAAGTGGCTGGTCTCACTAATAAAGCCACCGGAGAGTATCTTAAGGGCAAAGCCCTTGTGGATTTTTTCTAGCCCCAAGATGTACTCTAAGTAGAAAATAGCTAAACTTGCTGAGAGCCAAACGTGTGCAAGGCTAAACAGAAATCTAGGTTTTACAAGAAGTGTGGGGGCTCTCCAGGAAGCATGGCCCTGGACCACAATGTTTGTGCCCCTGAAGCATGAAAGCTCCAAAGACACCTGGAGATTTTCTAATTGTCAAAGCTTTATTCATAAACCTGACTTTTTTCATTTAAAAAAAAAAAAAGCTGTCTGCCTTGACTGGGGAGAACGCTTTTGGTTACAGAGATGCCCCAACAGTTGTTGGGATATTGGCCAAAGACAGCATCTAAATGTAAAGCCTGGTTCCTTCAATACCCCCTACGAATATCAGATATGCATCTTATGCCACAAAACTAGGGTGGGAAAAGATCTCATTTCTTTATGTTGGCTAAATTAAGTATAATCTCCTCTGTGCCCTCATTTATTGAACTATTAGGAAATTCTTCCCCCATTGTTGCTGGATGTCCTTATTCCCTCAGAGACAAGTAAAAGTCCTAGGGTATTCCCTAGTCCCAAACATTGGGGAGCCCCACTGGTGTCCAGCCTAGTCTTCTGTGCTGATAAATTCCCTGTCCAGTGAGCCTGCACTTTCTGCTGAAGACAGGAAGTCCTGTCTTTCTAAGCCAGGCTTGGGCATTAAGTTTTGCGCCCAAGATCCTTTTCTCTGGCTCCTCCATCAGAAGTCTGTCACCATTTTCCTCTCTCACAGAGAAGGCAGCTTTGTGAGGGGTCTGGTCATTGCCTTGTGAAGAAGCTGCAACACGATGTTGGCGGGGATGCGGAGAAAGGGGAACCCTCCTACACTGTTGGTGGGAATGCAAGCTGGTGCAGCCACTCTGGAAAACAGTATGGGGGTTCCTCAGAAAGTTGAAAATAGAGCTACCCTACGATCCAGCAATTGCACTACTGGGTATTTACCCCAAAGAGACAAATGTAGGGATCCGAAGGGGTACGTGCACCCCAATGTTTATAGCAGCGATGTCCACAGTAGCCAAACTGTGGAAAGAGTGAAGATGTCCATCAACAGATGAATGGATAAAGAAGTGGTATATATACACAATGGAATATTATGCAGCCATCAAAAGGAATGAGATCTTGCCATTTGCAACGACGTGGATGGAACTGGAGGGTGTTATGCTGAGTGAAATAAGTCAATCAGAGAAAGACATGTATCATATGACCTCACTGATATGAGGAATTCTTAATCTTAGGAAACAAACTGAGGGATGCTGGAGTGGTGGGGGGTGGGAGGGAGGGGGTGGCAGGGTGATAGACATTGGGGAGGGTATGTGCTATGATGAGCACTGTGAATTGTGCAAGACTGTTGAATCACAGATCTGTACCTCTGAAACAAATAATGCAACATATGTTAAGAAAAAAGAAAAAGAAGAAGATAGCAGGAGGGGAAGAATGAAGGGGAGTAAGTCGGAGGGGGAGAAGAACCATGAGAGACAATGGACTCTGAAAAACAAACTGAGGGTTCTAGAGGGGAGGGGGGTGGGAGGATGGGTTAGCCTGGTGATGGGTATTGAGGAGGGCACGTTCTGCATGGAGCACTGGGTGTTATGCACAAACAATGAATCATGGAACACTACATCAAAAACTAATGATGTAATGTATGGTGATCAACATAACAGTAAAAAAATTTAAAAAAAAAGCTGCAACACATCCCACCCCCTTCCAAGATGATGGATGACTTTTCCGATCTGACTCCCTTGACTCTGACTTTCAACCCCAATCCTTCTGGGACAATTCGGCTAGAGTCCTCCTGGATGCCTGTAGGTCACCCATCTTCTTTCTCCACCTTCATTCCTGTGGGACATTTCTGAAGCTGGAAGAGCAGCTTGGCCCATCTCTGGGGCTCCCTTGTCTGATTAGTCCGGGAAAGCCTGTTCAGGTTTTCCCTACCTGGCCATCGGAATGCTTGGGTAGTTTTCAGCTGAAATCTGTGACCAAAAATAGACATTCATTTGTATTTTAAGAGCTCAGTATGTCACCCTGATGACTGGATGCCTCGGTTTGCTGGCATTTCTTCCTTTTTTTTTTTTTTAACATTTTATTTATTTATTTGACAGAGAGAGAGAGACAGCGAGAGAGGGAACACAAGCAGGGGGGGTGGGAGAGGGAAGCAGGCTTCCCGCCGAGCAGGAAGGGGCTTGATGTGGGGTTCGACCCCAGGACCCTGGGATCATGACCTGAGCCGAAGGCAGACGCTTAACAACAGCCACCCAGGCGCCCCTGGCATTTCTTCCTAAAGAACCCTGTCAGGTCTCATGAAAGCTCTGCCCCTGGCAGTGGTGGGCACAGCCTGTATTCAGGGGGTGTTAGTATTAGGGAGGCCTCCCAATGGTGGGTGCAGAGCTGCCTCCCTCATCTAGCTCTTATGAACAATAATGCTGACATTTTCATCTCTGTCTGCCTAGCTCCCGCTTCTCACTGGGTGTGTGACTCAGAGTAATTAAAGGGAGTGACAATATTATCAGCCTTAAAGGATAATGGGGAACAGACTTTCCAATCAGGTGGGGGATGCTTTCATGCCACAGCTCAAGCTGAGACCCTGTAGGGGTTTCGATCTTATAATCTTTATAGCAGTAGCAATCATAAAGACCATGTTTTAGCTAAAATTGTAATTTTTAGATCCTTAACTTTTGTAAAGCCTCAAATGTTAATTTGAGTTCGTGGATAAATATTTCTGGGTACTGGACACTTTTCTAAGTTTAAAAAGTTTTAAACTTTGGTCACTAAGCCTACTTGTAATTTAGTCCTTATTCATTTAAAATAGCTATAAATTAACCAGATGGGTGATGTATTTAAATATAAAAAGATAATATTAAATGTAAACTAATGGTGAAAAATAGCTAGATAGTTCTTGTTTTCCTGTCTTCTAGTTTTCTGGAGTCTAGAGAAAACAAAAGGTGTTACTTTGCTAATAATGGTGATTAACAAAAATAACTTAAGATGCTATTAGGCGTAATTACAGAGAGATGTAAGTATGTGTACAGATAACATGTAGTTTGTTTAAGGGAATTATTAGTTTATTATGACGGTAAATTCATTAGGATAGGTGCACTGTTGGATGTAATATGTTCATAAGGTTAATTATATTTTGAAAATAAGATTCATTTTTTAAAGTGTCTAATAAAAATAATAAAAAGGTTATACTGTAAATGTACAAATTTTAGTAACAATTTTTTGACTTGGGTTATACTACCTGCAGTGTTCAAGTTGGCTCAGTGAATTCATCCGTAAGAAAGTTTTTTATGTTTTTTTATTAAAAGATTTTATTTATTTATTCATGAGAGACAGAGAGAGGGAGAGAGAGGCAGAGGGAGAAGCAGGCTCCCAAGGAGCAGGGAGCCCGATGTGGGACTCGATCCCAGGACTCTGGGATCATGACCTGAGCCGAAGGCAGACGCTTAACCATCTGAGTCACCCAGGCACCCCGTAAGAAAGTTTTATAAATCCTTTACTGAGCACTGTCACATGGTTGGCACACACACAAAAATAAAATTAGAATTTAGGGGTTTTATGGTAAAATGATGTTACTTTGTGCCAGATACTTTTTTTTAATTCCAGTATAATTGATGTAGTGTTATATTAGTTTCAGGTGTACAATATATGGACTCAGCAATTCTGTATATGGCAAGATTTCAGTTTTTTGGGTTTTTTTAAGATTTTATTTATTTGACTCACAGAGAGAGAACACAAGCAGGGGGAGCGGCAGACAGAGGGAGAGGGAGAAGCAGGCTCCCCGCTGAGCAGGGAGCCCAATGTGGGACTCGATCCCAGGACCCTGGAATCATGACCTGAGCCGAAGGCAGACGCTTAACCGACTGAGCCACCCAGGTGTCCCAAGATTTCAGTTTTTTATGGCTGAGTACAATTCCATTGTGTGTGTGTGTACATATATACACCACATCTTCTTTATCCATTCATCTGTCAATGGACACTTGGGTTGCTTCCATATCTTGGCTATTATAAGTAATGCTACAGTAAACATAGGGGTGCCTGTATCTTTTCAAATTACTGTTTTCATTTTATTTGGGTAAATATCCTGTAGTGGAATTACTGGATCATGTGGTAGTTCTCTTTTTAACTTTTTTTGAAACATCCATACTGCTTTCCACAGTGGTTGTACCAATTTACATTCCCAGGAACAGTGCACAGGGGTTTCTTTTTCTTCATGTCTATGAAACTTCCTTTTGAATACTAGTCGTTCTGACTCATATGAGGTGATATCTCATTGTGGCTTTGATTTGCAGTTCCCTGATGATGAGTGATGTTGAGCATTTTTTGTCTCTGCTGGCCATCTGTATGTTATGTCTGGTATACTCTCAATTCATCTTAACAAAAGTTCCTTATTTCTAAAAAAAAAAAAAAAGTTAAGTTTCTAATAGCTATCTACTTTTTGTTGTGGTTTTCAAAATACTGTCTTGCAGTAACTTTTTCTTACGTTTGAAAAGTGTGATGTGTCCATATTTTGTCCTCTGACAATTCTTGCCCAAATTCAGAATAAAATGGCTAAAATGTCTTTTAGTCCTAAACTACCTTTGAGTTTCCTTGAATGGCCACCAGGTTACACAAAGATTTGCCCCATCACCTTAGAAAGGATAAAAGCTATTAGGTTTTAGTCTTCTCTATGTTCTAATCAACTCAAAACTTGTGAGAGCCCTTTATCAAATTTAGGATAAAAAAACCACAAAACTGACAAAAGAAGTTCCATCTTCCTGAGTTAATTATGTATTGACTATATTAATATAAAAAAATTTGAATTTTATACTTTTCAGATTAAAAGAAACATACTACTGTCCAAGCAAAGACTGGTACAAGAACTGTCTATGGAGTGATTTTAAGCGTTCAACATCCTTGTCTATCAGTGACAATCACAGTACTTTAGGATTTAAGCCTACAGCTACTAGTTGATCAACGTCTTCACAGTTCATATGTTCTTAGTCCAAGGTAATCCTTCACTACATCCTCAGAAATTGTTATTCCTCAAAAGAGGCTTTCACTCTCTTCCACTCTGATTGCTACATTTGTTGGAGCTATTCAGTCTTCCCACCTTAGTAGAGGTAAGTAAATGTCTGTGATCTTCAACATTGGTGGGAAAATTTTAAAAGCCTCACCAATGTTTCTCATGCCATGACTTGTCTACAGCTGAATTCTGACAAAATTGTAGACAGTCTGAAGCCAAAGCCTCATGGAGCCCGCACACCCCTCCAAATAGACTGTACTCAATTGTCCCCAATGAGATATGTTTGGATTGTTACATATTCATTCATTCAAGGACAGATCCAAGATTTCTTGTGAGAAAATCACAGCTTTGATAGTGACCAAAAGTTCATGTTGCAACACTGTTGGACTCTGTTGAACTGTCCCCTGCGGTCTTTATCAGACTATTAAAGTTTTCCATCACTCCTTAAGGCAATTTTGTTTTCTAGAAATATTTATCAAAGTAAAAACTTTTAGACAAAAAGTAATCTATCTTATTCCCTAACTTTGGCTTGTTTCTGCTTTCATTCTCATTACTTCTATTTTCTCTTTACTTATTAAATTTGTCTTCTTCCTATTTTAAGCACGAGGCATAAATTTCTTAGGAATTACTTGAGCTACATCCCACGAACTTCGGTATGAAGAAACTTTTATCATTCAGTTGTTAATATTTCTAATTCCCCTTATGGTATCATCTTTGATGAGGTATTTTAGAATGTTTTAAATTTCCCAGAGGGATTTTTTTCAAACCTGTTTTTGTCTGTTATTGCCTACATATTGTAGTACAAAGGTAGTCTGTATGACTCTGATTCTTCTGTATTTGCTACTTGTTTTATAACCCAGAACATGAATAGCATTTATATATATTCTTTATATGCTTGAGAAAAGCATATATCCTCTAGTTTGGAGATGTTTCTAAATGTTTATTAATTATATTATATATAAATCTTTTGTTGTAAAACAGAACTATTTTTGCTTCCCCACAAACTTCAGCATTAGAGGCTACACCCTGAAAGCCCCCAAGACCAAAGAGAAATATGAGCAACTTGGTACGATGCAGAGGAACCTTCAATAAATAGTAATAACTATCAATTACTGAACATTCTGAAGGGACACATTACACAGACTTTTTCATACAACAGTCTGTTTAATCCCTACCTCACCATATTCCTGTACAGCTGTGGTTCTCGTTTTATAAGAAACCAAGGTCGGGTAGTACAAACTTGCCTCATGTCACCCAAGAGGGTTAGAACCCAGGTCTGTGGGACTCCAAAGCCAGTGATCCACATCCCGGCAGATTGCTGCCCCAGGTTTATCCACAAACACTCAGAACTACCCTGATCAGCAGGGACATGGCACCAATCCTCTTTGGACTGAAGTAATGGCTTTTCTGTAAAGGTGTCCGGCAACACTCTTCAATCATGTTATTCAACTTGAACTCCTAACCTTCTAGACCAGTGCTGTCTGACGTCAAACAAAATTCAACCAGGTAAATCTGAAGATCTAGTTGGCTTTATTAAACAATTCATGAATCAGGCAGCATCCCATCCAAAAAGCAGAGGGGAGCTCCAAGAGATTGAACAGAAAGGTTTCTAGGGAAGGGAGGTGGGACAAGAAAGTTATTTGCAAAAGAAAATTGTTCCAGGCAAGGCTTTCCCTTAGGGGAAAAAGGAGGGGGGTCTAATCAGGTAGATTACTCCATCCTCCTTTGGGGATGGAGAGGGCCCCTGTGGTAGACTCCTTGGCACCCATCAGAGAACTTGTGACTGACCAGGAAAGACTACATTTCTGGGGGAAGTTGAAACTGCAATTAGATTAGGTATTATGCCTGGGTTTGGGGACTTGGCCTAAGTAATACCACTTTGGGGCCCGTGGGTTTTCAACACCACACTTCTTGTGATAGAAAGAGTCTTCGATACCTGCACTACCCAACATGACAGCCACTTGTGGCTACCAAGCACTTGAAATACAACTTGTGCAAGTGAAGATGTGAACTTTACATTACCATAATGGACTGTAGTTCTAAATAAGCTGAGGCCTCCTGTTTTGTTTGGAGCAGTATCCCCAACACCTACAGCAGTGCCCAACATAAATGCGTGTTCCATAGACATTCAGCATATAAACATTATTATCTAGACATTTCAGGAATACCTAAGTCCACAAACTATGCTATTTCCCATTATACCCCTACTTCTAAGCACATGGTACCTGGCTCATAAATAAATGCTTTTTCTTTTTAATGGACGGACCTTCACTCTGACCAGCTCTCCATACTTCTAGCTTTCAATTCTGCTATGGAAATCTCCCACTCCCTGCTCCACCAGGCCCTCCAGGAAGCTTGTACATCTCCCAGCAAGGATCACAGCTCCATGACCTAAAGCCTGGTTCCTAGGTCACGTTGGTTGGAATGCTCTTCTCAGATTTCCTCAGGCCCGCAACACTTGACATGGCTCATGCTTCCCATGCCGCATGTGAGGCAGGCATTACCTGGTGCCCGGTGGGACACGCCAAGTGTCTCCATGCACACTTTTTAAGTACTGGCCCACATTCTGCTGTTCCTCCACGGCAGCACACATTCCCAACCAGTCACAGCTTTCTCAAGTGGACCCAGATCCTTCCCTTGGCGTTTTTTCATGCAGCCACAACCAGCTGACTAAAGGGTGCTAAAAAAAAGTCAAGACAGTCCGCAGGGAAGACCAAAAAAAAAAAAAAAAAAGACTTCTGACTTCTGGATGCCTGTGTCAGGGAAGAACACCTGCCTGCCCCTGAAAAGGAGCCCATCAAGGTGTCAAATTCATCAAGGCAAGTTCAAGTGCAGAAATTGGACAATTAACTCCAGCCTTTCATCATGGCCTTTGGGACCTATTTCCTCACAGAGACCCATCCATCTATAATATGGGAATTAAAAAGTTCACACATGCACATCCTTAGACCATAATCACATTACTGCTATTATTGACTTACCACAATTACCTCCAAAAGCCTGACCTTGAGGATAGCCACAAGTTCCACCAACAGTGGCTGCTCCACCTTCACCCTGCTCCCTCCCGCCTTTACTCAGTAACCTGTCCTCTCAGGCTGACATCATGTATTTGACTCCCGAGGTTAAGATGACCAACTCCTTCCAGTTTGCCCAGGACTTTTCTGGATTTAACAATCAAGTCCCATGTCCTGGGAAACCCCTCAATCCCAGGCAAACCAGGTCGGTTGACCACAAAAGCAGGCATTTACTCATGAGCCAGGAGCCAGAACTCGGGCCAACCCAGCTTCCTCATGGACATCGGTGCCTGCCTCACTCCAGCCCACTGTCACCAGCCACCCTTCAAAGCCCTGGCCTGACTATTCCTCGAACCTTCCATTCTTTCACGGGCCCTGAATCTGAGCCAGCTACTGTCTCAGTCCTAATGCAACTACAGCCTGTGTGCCGAGCCCCAGGAGCATGACAGGAGAGGCTCAGGGGGTGAAAACAAGACTGGCCTGTGATCCACTTCTCCACGTGGCACATGGCTTGTTATGGACTTAAAAGTCAGGCACAGCGAGTCTGTAAGGTTTATTGAATGGTGGGCAGAGAGTAAAGTGATGAGCAGCTGCAATACAAGAGAAAAAGTCTTGGTCATTAAGATCATTCCAGGCATAGCAGAGGGACACGGGGCTGGCCTTCCCTGTCCATGGCTTCTCAGGGCACTGTTGTCAAGACTCAGCCAGCTGACGTGGACCCCAGCCCCAGCGCTTTCCCTCTGATCCCCTACGTGGAGTGAAGAGTTGATCCATGATGCTCTGTGTCACAGCAGGAGGTGCTCTGGGGATGCCTTCTGCAGGGACTCCCTCACCATCCTCTGTTCCTCTGCTGTCCACTAACACCAAGAGAATCTAAAAAAGAAAGGACAGGTGAGACCAATGGTCTGGAGTTCCCACCCAGAGATACAAACCAGCTTACCCGCTGCCCATGGGTCCCCAATGCTTGGCAGTAACTCACCTTGGGGAGACATATCAGCAAACCCAGATCCCAAGTCATCCCGAGGGTCCCTGACTCATGGCCTTGGGACTTACTTCAACAGCTCCTGATCTAAGGCTGACCTACGAGGGAGAAGCCGCATACAAGCATTCAGTCTCCGTTGCCTCCTCCCCCCGTGACATCACTGAGAGGGTCCCCATCAACTGGGCCTAAGTGCCCAGTTTATGCATGCCATAGTATATTATCACCAGAATAAAAAAGAATAAAGGAAAAACATCTTAAAAGTCGTTTTTATAATAAATCGTTTTCTTTCAAGCAGTTCATGATCAGGGCAACTGACTACATACAGCAATCCACGGGAAGACAGCTCACCGCTCAGTTGGGGGCTTGACCCTGAGGTCCCACTGCATCTTGAACAAAGGGATGGACCACCATCCTCAGCAGCTTTCCCCAACATTGTCATGCCTTGTCTGCCCAGCCTGTCACAAGGCCCCAGCACCTGCCATCCTGTTCTGCAAAGACCCACTTAACATGACCCAGCCAAGAAAGGCGAATGCAAGATAAACTTCCAATGAGACTTGTTCTGGTTAGGTGCCCAGACCTGTGAAAATCAGCACTGCCAGACCCACTTGAAGGAGAAATGAGAAAACATCATGAATGCTTGAGGATACCATGCAAGAGAACCCCAACTCAATCCCTAGGACTCTACACTCAGAGGTTCGAATTACCAGATCTGGAGTGGGGCATGGGGTGATTTTTTTCAGAATGTTCACCATTGTCCCTTAAATCCCCCGGGCTGGCTGAGGAGTCTGACCAGAAACTAGGCTGTGGGACAGGACAGGCCCCTGATGCAAAGGGGGCGGAGAGCAGGTGTGAAAGACAAGGGGACTCTGGGTTCTTCGACAGCTCCTGGGCACCAGGTGGTTCACATATGTTATTCTCACTACCGCCACCTCATCGCTGAGATGGGAGCAAAACCACCTGGCACAACAGGATCCCATCTGCAAACACGAGACCCAAATGTAAAGGGAAGAGATCTTGGGAACTAGAAAGGAGCCCTCGATCAAAAGTGGGGGGGGGGGTCAAAGGGATGGACACCTTGACCTCACCTCCAACCTCACCGCCCTTGTTACCTGGGAGCCAAGACATTCCTCTCAGGGGCACCAAGCTGTCTCTCTCAGGAGCACCAGGCTGATTTCTCAGGGGCACCAGCAGGCTGTCTGAGTCCAGAGAGTGAAGACACCACTGCGGGGTTTCTGCTTCCGGAACTCATCGGCAGGTGCACAGCACAGAAGGCAGCCAGTCAGCCTGCTGCAGATGGATGACCGCACCGAGCGCCCAGTCAGCAACAATACCCTCACAGACGTGAGCCAGAAAGCAGGCTGGGAAGTCTGCCACCTGTAGTCCATAAATACAGACCTCAGAGATCCACAGGCCTGAGAAATTCTTCTTCAGCCAACCCCCGGGGTCACCCGTTTCAAAAGAACCCACAAAGCACAGAAGTCAGCAGAAGGGGAGCTACAGACAGGGTGGTCAGTCAACACGCTCTCCTCCCACCAGTGACTGATGAGAACCACCCCAGCTTCTGGCAGACCATGACGAATGAGAACTTCTTTATCGACTCACAATAGACAGAACCCCCCCATGCCCCTATAGCAGGCCCCATCTGTACTTTCTTTCTACATTTATTTAACATCACAGCTCCTGGAGAAGCAACCCACGCTGTGCTCAAGAAAGGGTAAAGGAGCAAAGACAACACACACGTGAGCAATGGAACCGCATGCTGTCCTGACTGATTGCTCTTCTGGGCTAGCCTCCACTCCCGTAAGTACTGATGCGCTCTTCCGGGCTAGCCCCCACTCCCGTAAGTACTGATGCGCTCTTCCGGGCTAGCTTCCACTCCCATAAGTTCATAAAGTCGAACCCAGGATTTGCGATGCTCACGTGTGCCCTCCAGCGCTATTATGAACTTAGTCTGGGGTGAGGGCCACATAGAAATGTATAGACTGATTTCTGACAAGAGGATCTGTAACATGAGAACAGAATGAGCCCCCAGAGGTCAGGGGGCTAGCCCAGTCACTGCATCCCACAAGGCCCAAGCTCTGAAGGGAACGGCAGAAAGAAAGCTAGTGCAGGAAAGTTCCAGGGCTTGGAAGGGGATGGCTGGCTGGACCCTTCAAACACAGAACTTTTTTCAGTGATTCCTCTCCCTACACTATCAATGACCAGGGCAAAGACAGCAGGCAGTCACTTTTGGGTGCAGGAGCAGAAAAGTGCAGAAAGAGCCAGGAAGGATGGGAGGCTGGTGTCAGGGGCTTGAGTGAGGGAGAGCAGCCCAGCCAAACACAGAGCCCCAGCAGCTTCTGTTGTACCCTGCAGAGACCCTGCAACACCTCCCTGCCCCAGAAGAGTCAAGATGCTTCCAGCATAAAAAATTGGAAATGCTGGTGTGCCTGAGTGGCACAGATGGTTAAGCGACCGATTCTTGGGTTTCAGCTCAGGTCGTGACCTCATGGGTTGTGGGACTGTGCCCTGCGTTGGGTTCTACGCTGAGTGCAGTCTGTTGGAGTTTCTCTCTCCCTCTTCCTCTGCTCCTCCCCGCCACTCTCTCTCTGAAATAAATAAATCTTTAAAAAAAAAAAATCGGAAATGCTTTTGGGTTAGAAAAGATCAGGATCCTATGGTTACAACACCACCATGAGAAATTTTCTAAAACCCTTCACGGCTACCCCAGCTATGTTTTTCAGATGAAGTAGAGATTAAGAATAGGTCACAAAGGTAGATAAGTTTGGAGGCCGGACCAGGGTCTCTGGTGCCTAAACCTACATGCTTTCCCTCAGGGCATGCTGCTGACACTAGGAAGGGAGCTGCCCCAAGGAGCCCTTCACCTACCTGAGCAGCTTTCTAGAGGCCCGTCCCCTCTCGGTACGTGAGGCATTGCCCACAGCAAGGACTCAACTGCGAGCTCACAGGATGCCTACTGTCATCTTACTTCCTCATCCAAACCCCAGGGTACATGTATGTGACTTGACAGATGCACAAAACAAACTTCCAGAGAGAGGTCTGAGTACCTTACCTCGGGCCCCACAGCCTACCGCAGGCTGGTAAAATGACACCTCCCATGGAGCCTCTGCACACAGACCCACCTGCAAGACACAACGCACGAGTGAGCACTCACAGCAGGCCCTCGTGGGCACAGTGGCCGGCAAATAACAGCAACCACAAACGTGGCCTGTTGCTACTAGTATCCACTAGTACCACACGACTATCTTAAGGACAAGAACAACTTAACTCTAGAAAGGGGTCTGAGGATCACCTGTCACAGGAGTAACGTCAGTGCTAACCTATGGGCCAGAGATCAATCTGCTGCTAAGCAGTCTATGTCAAAAGGTTGTTGAGGCCAGGTTTTGGGGAGCGTGCCATACTGACTGGCAGTGATGAGCATAGAACAGGAGGGGTAACAGGTAGTGGGAGGGACCCATTTCCTCCACCTAGTGTGTAAGGGCAGCTTATGTATGTATCAACTAGGATGTGTGCTGCCCAGCTGGATCACCACTCCATTCCCTGCCCTTCAATCTAAGGACTGAGGAACATCACCCCCTGTGGACCACGGGCCCAGCCCATGACCAGGACGAGAGAGAACCAACACTTCCGGGGAGAGGAGGATGCCTCAGCCTTGAGCAGGCTGGCTGGCTCAAGGGCACTGTCTTCCCACTGACACGCCACAATGGGATGAGCCCACTGCCTCACCACGTGGCACCTTGTCTCCTACATCTTGTTTTATCCAAGAGCTACATGTCATGCAGCAAGACAGAGGCACTGCCTCAACATCACAGCAAAGGGGGCATGACAAGCAAATCACCAATGTCCAGTATGACCGGGGCTGAGGGTGTGGGAAGAGGTACGATGGGGAGGCAGAGAAAGCTTCCTGGGGGAGCCCTGGGAGAAGAGGGACCCCTATCATGGCTCTACCACTGGCCCATGAACAGAAACACCCTGAGGTGTTACCCTGCTCAGCGAAAAAGGCACTGAGTGAGCCACAAAGCGCCAGATATGAGGAAGTAACACCAATTAGTGGGAAGAAAGATGTGTTTGAAAGCTCCAGAGTTTGGAAGGGACAGGATGGGCCCTTCTAACACGGGGAAGCGCTTTCAGCAACTCTTCTCCCTGCACTATCAATGACCAGGCCACGGGCAGCCCATGATCACTTTCGAATGCAGGTGCAGAAAAGGGCGGCGAGTGGGCTGAGGAGAAGGGAAGCCTTGTTGGGCAGCAGCCTGGGAACTGGCCTGACCCTGGAGCCTTGGCACACAGGCCCGTGACCAGACTGACAACCCGAGATCACAGAAGCTGCCCCTCACTTGCACGGACGATTTACCACTCCCACCCAAGAGATGAAGTGAAGACTAATGGTGCAGAAATACTGAGGATTCGTGGTTCTGGAAGATGGGGTGTGAGTGGTCATACAATGAGCACTCAGCTGGGCACCGGACATGAATCTCGGTTTGCCTCTGAAATGCAGCCGTCTGACCATCCCGATACTGCCACTTTCCACGTCACAGGAGCCTTCATCAGGGGCTCTCAGGAGCAGAAGAGGGCCCAGGCCTGTGCCCACTGGCTCGAGGGGACACAGACAGCCGGGAACACTGGGAAGCAGCCTTCACCTGCACTCATTCCCACACCTCATCACCTGAACGCATCCAGCCTCAGCCCACACAGACTTAAGCTCTCGAGAACCAGGCAGGACACCACTTACCTGGGACCTCCCGATCAAGTTCTCCCTGAGGTCGCCTCTCACATCTGTGGAACAGCAGTCACAAGACACTCCTGCAGGGGACAAGAAGCACTTGGCACTGCTTTACGTGTCCAGGAAACCGCTATGCTCACCAACAGGAAAACACTGGGGGAATCTGGGTCTTGGGCGGTGAATGCACTGAAAGCCTGCCTCCCTCCATCTACCTCATGCTCTGTCACCTAAGGCTGTCCCATTCTGGAACCCCTGAACATAAAGAAAGCCTTATAACTTTTCCTTTGCTTGCATTACCAATGACCAGGACATGGGCAGCCTGTAACCCCCTCAAACACAGGGGCAGAAAGGGACACAGAGCTGCTGACATTAGAGACCAGTGTCAGAAGAACACAGCTGTGGCTGCACAACCAACTCAGACATGCAATGAGGCAGGACCCACCCTCGTGCTCCCTGTGAGGCTTTTTAAAGCCTCACAAAAACAGAAACCATCCTGAGCCAGGCACGGAGAGCACGCAAGAAACACAGGTGCCCAGAGGCATCTAAAAGATGGTGAGGAGAAGGAAGTGTGGGAAAGCTCCAGAGTTTGGAAGGGACAGGAAGGGACCCTCCAAACACGGGGAAGTGCTTTCAGCAACTCCTCTCCCTGCACTATCAATGACCAGGACACAGACAGACCATGATCACTTTCGAATGCAGGTGCAGAAAAGGCAGAAGGTGAGCCTGGAAGAAAAGCCCCTATTAGCCCCCAGCTGCCCCGCCAAGCCCAGGACCATCATCACTTCTTGTAAAGATTCCACCTCCCATCACCAAAGGGAAGACTAACTCCTGGCAAAAACACCAACATCGTTTATTCACCCCACACATACAGCCTGAGTACCTACTACGTGTCAGGCACCCTGGGCTCAAAAACAAAGGACACACACGAGACCCCTGTCCTCCCAGAGCTCTGGCAGTTTCCCCACTTAAAAGTGAAGCTTAGGACAAGGAAGGAACTGAGCCAAGGTTATGCGGCTGGCCAGGGGTGGGCTGAACCAGGATCTGAACCCAGACCTCTCTGACCCCAAACCCACCCCACCTACCACACCACACCCCCTTCTGCACAAGGGCTTTGCAAGAAGGGTCTCAGAACCTGAGCTCCAGGACCACCCTCTCCCCTCCCCCCTCACCGCGCTGTGGCAGGAAGGCAAGGAGCTCTCTGGTCAAGGTGCTCACGCGCAGCAGCACTTACCCAGCAGGCCTCACCCCTGCACACAAGGGCGGCATCAGGAGCTGCGGATCAGGGTCCTGCAGGGCAGAAAGGGGTGCTGCCTGCGGCACCGCCCGCAAAGCCGTCCAAAGGACAGTCTCCATCTGCTCCCAAGAGAGCAGAGCCCGCACGGCCTGGGCACGGGAGAGAACCGGGAAGGGGCTTTAGTGCCAAGCAGGGAGGCAGGAATCACACGCTGCCCCTCCGCGGCCCCGCGAGCGCCCCCACCTGAAAGCTCAGACAACCGCTCTGCACAACCCGGGCTTTCACACTCCGTTAAAGACAGGTGACGCCAAAACGGGTTCACACTCCTCAGGTCACTCCGTAGGCAACCGATGAACGGCTCTGGGGGACTCAAGGCCCGGAGCCGGGGGTGGGTGAGTGCGTGAAAACCGCGGGGTCCGGGGCGCCCCTCGGGCCCGGGAACACAAGCGGCTGCGCGGCCCGCGCGTCGCCGGACCCGCTGCTGGTCGTTAGCGCGACCGGAGTCTTCCCCGCGGGCGGGCTGAGGGCGGGGGATCGGACCCGCCTCCCGAGAGATCCGCACCCGGCGGAGGGGCCGGACACGGAGCCAGGAGCCGGGCCCGGAATCCGGGCTGACCTCCGCCGGCTCTCCCCGTCCTCCTCCGGGCCTCAGTTTCTCCTTAAGGTGTTGGGGCCGCAGACCACGCGCCCAGCGATCCCCGCAGTGGACTCACCCCGGGCACCGCGACTACGACGCAGGACAGCGGCGCTGACAGAGCCGACAGCGCGGGAAGGTGCGGATGTCTGGAGATTGCGGGAGTTGGACCCGGGCAGCGTGGCACGGCGCTGGATGGGGCCGGCGGCAGCAGCGACAACAACAGGAAACGCCTCACCCGCCCAGCGCCAGCGGAAATGCAGCTGGAGCCCAGGCTATGGCCTAGAGCGGCGTTTCGCGGGGCGGATCCCGTGCAACCGATCCTGTCGCGCCCCCTGGTGGCGCGGAGCTCAAATTCCGACTCCGCAGGGCTTGAGATCTTTTCCTAGAGCAGCCTGGAATTTTGGAAATACATTCCCTCACTTATTTTGCTTTTCTCTTTATTCTGTTTTTGCCACTGGTTTGTCATTAATTTACAGGAATGGTTACTCTTGCACGTGAGGAGCTGTTATTAGCAAGAGCTCATGCTGATTGCAGGTTGTCTGGACAAGAGGGTTCTTGCCTGCTTGACCACTGCATTCACAGTACCTAGTTTAGTGGCTGGCACAATTGAACAAATGAAAGAATTCTGACCATATATTTGGACATCGCCAGTTAAAATATTGTTCTAATGACCTGAAAGTGGAACGTGAGAGTGACAAGGAGATAAACCTAGAGAGGGGGGCAGGTGCTTTGCTAAACTCAGTCCCAAAAATGAGTCCTTGAAGCAGGAAGGACTTGATCAGATTTGCAGAGCGGTAAAGACGACAGATAGAAGCCTCGTGCTCCCGACAGGACACTGCAGACACGCTTGAGAAGAGGCTCGTGGTTCCCAAACCTCACAGGCACAAACACTGCCTGCACCCTGGGTCATGTGTATCCCTTAAACCTAAGGCAACCCTGCCACTAACTCAGCCCACATTCGGAAGTATAAACAGCCCACTCTTGTGCCCGAGGAGGGGGTCCCCCCAGTCAGATTCCTGGAACTGACTAGGTCAGCACAGAGTGGATATCCAGGCCTGACCAATGCAACCGAGGTGAGCACACTCTATATTGTGTACCTGGGAGAAGACTGTGGGAACGTTGGGGAATTCTGTGATAGGTAGGGACCATGGATGCTGTAGCTCTGAGGACACTGGACCAAAGGGTCAGGGGCGCACACTTGAGCACACCTGTTCTTGCCTGCCTCCTGTTCTCGCTCTTATGCTCTGTGTGACCTTGACTAAATGACCCAACTCCTCAGCCCAGCTTGAGTTTTCCTTTTCTGAAAAATGGACAAAATCATAGCTTTCTCCTCAGAGCATTGCTTCGAGAATTATGCGAAATGATACATATCAAAAGCAAAGCACAGAGCAAATGGCCAAGCATGCAGTTGCTATACTCTAGTATTTCTGAGAAAGCCAAGGGTTTCTGTCACTGAAAGGACTCTGTAAGGCTGAGAGAATGTGCTATGTTGAGAAAGTCTAAGGCAGCACTGTCAGTAGAAATATAATGCTAGCCACATATGTAATTTAAAATGTTCTGGGGTCCCTGGGTGGCTCAGTTGGTTGAATGTCTGCCTTCAGTTCAAGTCATGATCCTAGAGTCCTGGGATCACCCCGCTTCAGGTTCCCTGCTCAGCAGGGAGTCTGCTTCTCCTTCTGCCCCTCCAGCCCCGCTCTCTCTCTCTGAAATAAATAAATTAAATCTTTAAAAATAAATAAATAAAAATAGAATGTTCTAAGAGCCACATTAAAAAGGCACAAAAAAGGGTGAAATTAATTTTAATACTCTATTTTATTTAAGCCAATATAACCAAAATATTGTCATTTCAGCATTTTTTAATATCTTTAAATTATTAACGAGATATTTGCTATCTGTTTTCTCTAAGTCTTTAGGATCTGGCGCATGCTCAATACTGACATTTGGACCAGCGACATTCCCAGTGCTCCATTAGCCACCGTGGCCGCTGGCTGCTGTGTTCATCAGCACAGGTCTAAAGCCATCTGGCTTTGATCAGCTCTCGCAAGCCAGAGGAGAGAAGCAGCAAGCAGGAGGCTGAGAGCATGGCCCTTCCACAGCGCCCAGCACCCCATGAGCCTGGGACATCCTAGGAGGAGCAGGGCTTCCTGCACGGCTCAGGCTGGGGGCCTTATTGTCCCAAGCTGGAGTTTAAGGCAAGGGTACCCTAAGAAGATTTAAAAAAAGGGCAGTGCCGCTTTTCTGCCTGTGGACACCACCGAGCAAGCATCGTTAAAGTCTCCCCTCCCACCGCCATCATGTCTAAGTCAGAGTCTCCCGAAGAGCCTGAACAGCTGCGGAAGCTCTTCAACGGAGGTTTGAGCTTTGAAATAACCGATGAGAGTCTGAGGAGCCATTTGGAGCAATGGGGAACGCTTACGGACTGTGTGGTAATGAGAGATTCAAACACCAAGCACTCCAGAGGCTTTGGGTTTGTCACGTATGCCACTGTGGAGGAGGTGGATGCAGCCATGAATGCAAGGCCACACAAGGTGGATGGAAGAGTTGTGGAACCAGAGGGCTGTCTCAAGATCCTCAAAGACCTGGTGCCCACTTAACTGTGAAAAAGATTTTTGTTGGTGGCATTAAAGAAGACACTGAAGAACCTCACCTAAGAGATTATTTTGAACAGTATGGGAAAACTGAAGTGATCGAGATCATGGCTGACCGAGGCAGTGGCAAAAAGAGAGGTTTTGCTTTTGTAACATTTGATGACCATGACTCTGTAGACAAGATTGTCATTCAAAAATACCATACTGTGAATGGCCACAAGTGTGAAGTAAGGAAAGCCCTATCTAAGCAAGAGATGGCTAGTGCTTCATCCAGCCAAAGAGGTCGAAGTGGTTCTGGAAACTTTGGTGGTGGTCGTGGAGGTGGTTTTGGTGGGAATGACAACTTTGGTCGTGGAGGGAACTTCAGTGGTCGAGGTGGCTTTGGTGGCAGTCGAGGTGGTGGTGGATATGGTGGCAGTGGGGATGGCTATAACGGATTTGGTAATGATGGAAGCAACTCTGGAGGTGGCAGAAGCTATAATGATTTTGGCAATTACAACAACCAATCCTCAAATTTTTAGACCCATGAAAGGAGGAAATTTTGGAGGCAGAAACTCTGGCCCCTATGGTGTGGAGGCCAATACTTTGCCAAACCACGAAACCAAGGTGGCCATGGTGGTTCCAGCAGCAGCAGCAGCTACGGCAGCGGCAGAAGGTTTTAATCACTGCCAGGAAACAAAGCTTAGCAGGAGAGGAGAGCCAGAGAAGTGACAGGGAAGCTACAGGTTACAACAGATTTGTGAACTCGGCCAAGCACAGTGGTGGCAGGGCTGAGCTGCTACAGAGAAGACATGTTTTAGACAATACTCATGTGTATGGCCAAAAAACTCGAGGACTATATTTGTGACTAATTGTATAACAGGTTTAGTTTCTGTTCTGTGGAAAGTGTAAAGCATTCCAACAAAGAGTTTTAATGTAGATTTTTTTTTTGCACCCATGCTGTTGATTGCTAAATGTAATAATCTGATCATGACGTTGAATAAATGTCTTTTTAAAAAAAACATAAAATAAAAAATAAAAAAAGGGCAGTGCCACGATTCAATCCTAGATTATTCTCCTGCATCCCTTGCTCCCGTGATGCCAGGGAGGGGATCTGGGGCTGTTTATTTGTACATCCCCAATGCCTAGAAGAGGCTGGGCATCTAAGAGGTGTGGCTGATGCTTGTTAATCGTTAGTGTAACCGGATGTTAAAATGGACATTTCAGCAAGGCACCAAGGAGGCACCACGATATAGGCATGAACAGCTCAGCAACAACAAATTGCTGTTGTGGTAAGCAAATTGTGGCCCAATACTGGCAATTTGTGAAGGTTCCACCTGAAAAAATGGCAGCTCCCTTCCAAAGAAGGTGTTGAAGGGGATGCAGAATTTAGGAAAAAAACTGAACAATGCTCGTGACTCCGAATTCTCTAAGTTGAGGGTATTAGCAGTACAGTTAGATATTAAAAAGGGAGCGAATTATGAATTCTATTTCTTAAGACAGTCCCACACCCTGCCCCAAAGAGGGAGAACAGGAGTACCTGAGTATCAGGGGTTCCGGCAGAAACACGTGGGAGCTTGATATATGTTACCAGGAGTTAGAGAGCACAGGGGAGCCAGGCCTGACTCACTCCTCAGTCCAAGGTTCATCATTTTCTTCAGCAGGTGTAGCATCTGTGGTAGTGAGGCAGGTAGACTAGGGAAATGTTGGGTAGCGGCCGGAGGAAGAAAGACAAGGAACAGGGAGGGAACTGGCCTCACACCTGTTGAATAACGGGACGCTTGCGGCCATAAGAAGCCTGAGAAACCACCACGATGCGCAACCGCGGCACGCATGCGCAAAAGCCCCAGTTAGCCTGCAGTTGATGGAGCATGACCCCTCCACTGGGGGCGCTAGAGGACTCCTCCTCGTAGATGTTGTCCACCGCTCGTGCGCAAGAGAAAAATCAGACTGCGCCTGCGCAGAGTGACTGGTCTCGAGCATGCGTGATGATATATGGAGTGCTTGGAACTATTTCTAGAAACCTACAAAAATATTCCACCCCTTGATTATAGCTGCCTGTGAGAATCAGAATCCCAATTTAAGAAACATGGCAGAGGATCACAAGGGGAAGAGAGGAAAAAATGAAATAAGACAAAACTAGAGAGGGAGACAAATCATAAGAGACTCTTAATCTCAGGAAACAAACAGGGTTGCTGGAGTGGAGGGGGGATGGGAGGGATGGGGTCGCTGGGTGATGGACATTGGGGACTGTATGTGTCGTGGTGAGCACTGTGTATTGTGTAAGACTGATGAATCGCGGACCTGTACCCCTGAAACAAATAATACCTTATATGTTAATAATTTAAAAATTAATTAAAGAGAATCAGAATCCCACATCTATCCAGCACCACTCAGTTTCTAAGAGTGTGTACTTTTGCTTTGCAATAAAGCTTCTCTGCTATATTTTACTCTGATTATCCTTGAATTCTTTGTCGTGGCAAAGTCAAGAACCTGGCACCAGCTGGTGGTTGAGGGCTCAGGACCCAAGAACTCCCCCAGTCTCCGGTATCAGTAGGAATGTCCACGAGCTACCCAAGAGTTGCTGCCCAGGAGGGAGCCTGCTAGGGTGAGGGAATCCCCAGGAAGGGCCTGGCCTATTCATATCCCTAGGAGGACAAAGGATGGATTCTCCAAAACCCCTACAACAG